TCAAAAAGCCGTGAAAACTAAACAAAGACCCAACCAGTGGTTATACCTGTTAAATTGTGCATGTTTTGCAGCTTATAGTGCAGAGACAGAGACAGAGAGAAAAGCGTGGAGCAGACGGGCAGGGAGCAGAGGCAGAGGGGGAATACTCTGTGAAATCCTGCCCAAGGTATACGGTCGCTTAAAAGGCTTAAAAGCTTGGAGAAAATTGGATCAGGGAGAATCGTCACCCAACTTTCATTATTTCCAAGTGGTGTGATTGAATTAAAGGGCAAGATGGTGGTTGGAGAGGAGTGGGGTGGGTGGGGGTGCGGCGGTGGCGGTGGAGGGGTGCGTAATGGCGTGGTATTAAATTCTAATTAGAGATGCAGGGGATCAATGATAGGGAGGTTGGACAGCCCGGGCCCCCAGTGCCAGCCCAATAGACTGATGAGTTATTGTCATGTAAAAAAGCGCTAGCAATAAGACCAAACGCTTTGCTATTGTCCAAGCGGAAAGAGCCAAGTTTATTATGAGGACTATATGCTCTAGAGACCTCGGGCTAGGCGGCTCTTAGGGGGCTTTTCATAAAACAGGGCTAGGTTCCTATAAAGGAGGCCAGTTTTGGAGCAGGCGCTGAGCAGTGCACATCTACACCGTCCAGCCTCCTTACAACCAGTTAAACCCAAACAAGTCCCCCAAACTCAGACCGCGCGTCCTCATTTTGAGTTTATTTTTATACTTTCTAACCCTTTTTTGTGGGGTAGTTTTTCTTTGACGGTGTTTTTTTTTTCACGGGAAGTGCAACTTTCTTTCTCCACCGAGCTTTCACAAATGTATAAAATGGAGTATTCTTACCTAAATTCCTCTGCCTACGAGTCATGTATGGCCGGGATGGACACGACGAGCTTGGCATCGGCCTATGCGGACTTCAGCTCGTGCAGTCAAGCCAGTGGGTTTCAGTACAATCCCATCAGGACCACTTTCGGGGCCACCTCCGGCTGCCCGTCCCTGACGCCGGGCTCGTGCAGCCTGGGGACGCTGCGGGACCACCAGAGCAGCCCGTACGCCGCAGGTAAGCAGCGGCTCCGGAGCCTCAACCCGGCGTATTATAGGACGCCTTGATTGCATTTGAAAATGGAAATGTGTTTAGTATTTACCAAACGAAATTTGCTTACACAAATGAAAGAATTTATCACGTTAGAAGCGATTGCAGGCAAGGGATAATTCGGTTACGGGGTTATACTATCCCAGTCACACCCAAAACCGCCAACAGAATTATCTTAAGCTGCCAAAATGATAGGCATAATTTATTTACTTTGCGATGAGACATAAAGCTTCGAAAAATAATTAGATAACCAAAGACTAAAGCTCATTATTGACACCGCATTGGAGTTACAGTAGCAACAAGCGGGGAGGATGGGAACATTATGACAACTTTTCAAACTTGAGCCTCAATCTGTGGAGGAACAATTAGTTTAACATCACAATTAACCGCATCACGGGTCAGCAATGATATCAATTCAGAACTAATTCACAGGTAATCAAAGGCATAATACAATACGTTTAGCCCAGCACACATAACCGGATTTTATACAAAATATCGAATTTACTTCCACATGACAACACTCCACATGTCTCACACTGCACATCTAACCGTGACATTTTTATTTGGTTTACAGTTCCCTACAAACTGTTCACGGATCACGGTGGGCTGAACGAGAAGCGGAAGCAGAGGCGCATCCGGACCACCTTCACCAGCGCGCAGCTGAAGGAGCTGGAGAGGGTTTTTGCGGAAACTCACTACCCGGACATCTACACCAGAGAGGAGCTGGCACTGAAAATCGATCTGACTGAAGCCAGAGTTCAGGTACACACACCGGCTCTCCAACAGACAGCAACCTGCTGCCATTACGCACGAATGGATTTATGATGCAAATGATAAAAACAAAAATAAATGTTAACTTTGAAAAAGATTGTAGTGAAATTAAAGCTTTAATACTTTGACATGATCAGCCACTAGCACCATCTTACACACACTCGTGCATTAATGCAAAAAACAAAGATCGTGTTTGTCTTTAGGGACACATCAGCATTTTTTTTTATCAGCACACTGATTTAGAGTTGCCTTTGAGACTTGCTGCTCGTGGACATTCTAAAATTGAGCCCGAACAATAATCAATAGGTTTAGATTAGTATTGATTGATCTATGTTTTTGTCACCATTCAACACTTCCCTGTGGTTTAACGTTTGTTTTGCACCATTTCCCAGGTTTGGTTCCAGAACCGGCGTGCCAAGTTTCGCAAGATGGAGCGCGCAGCTGCGACGGCCGTAGCGGCTGCCAAGGCCAACTCCGGGAAGAAGTCCGACTCCAGAGATGAAGACTGTAAAGACAACAAATCCACCGACCCCGATAGCACAGGAGGACCGGGCCCGAACCCAATCACCAGCTCCAACTGCGGCGGACCGAGCCCCACCGGAGGACAGGTCAACAACACCGGGAACGGACAGGTGGACCAGGTGAAGACCTCCATGTCCGGCGGGATGGGGGTGACCGCAGCGAGCCAAGGCTGGGCCACCAACCCGGGCCCCATCACCTCTATCCCGGACTCTTTGGGCGGCCCGTTCGCCAGCGTACTGTCGTCTTTGCAAAGACAGAACGGAGCCAAAGCTACATTAGTAAAGACCAGCATGTTCTAGTGAGGCAGAAAAAACGTTTCCTCATCCTCATCATCCGGAGACTGAAAATATATTGCCCATGACAGACTTTAAGGACAATAAAAAGCAGTTAAAAAGAAGATGACAACTATGTTATTTTATTTTTATGCCTTGCGCCGTTTCGTGTGGTCAGTTGACACTTTTGCTGTGAAAATATCCATCTTGACAATTCATGTTGTCTGATAATAACACCGTCTTTGTTTCTTTAACGTGAGATTAGGTGAAATGTGTCCACTTGTTTCCGGTCATTTCTAAAGACTGAAATCCCGTACTAGTATCAACAAAATGACACTTCTGATGAGATTCTCCATGCGTAAAATACATCTCATCCAAATGCGAAACGCTCCTGCTGTTTTAGGAAACAAAGGACACATTTAAGTCTGAAAACGGGATGAAGTGATTTGTTAAGATGAACATTGTGTTGGCCAAACACGGACGTCTGCGCACTGGAAACGCGTCGTGCCATCAGTGAGCAAAAGGGAGCCTCGTTAAGTCGCGTTACATGTCAGAGTTCAACAGCTGCTTTGTTTGGTAAAGAGACGTTTAATGCCCATGACTGAGGATGCTCTCACACACATCCTCAGTCTGACACAACTAAAACCCAACGAGACGCTGATGCATTTCGCTTCTCTGATCTCTGCAGGACACAATATGCAGTTACTTTGCAGCTTTTTCTGTTTCCAAGGCTGCGGAGAGTTCAGTTTCTTTAAATTATCGATATAAAACACAATTATTTCTTCGAGAAAAAAAAGGCACAAACTACTGCAATGTTCACCTCTGACAGGAAATCTGTGTGTTTTGTGTGTCTTTCTACGGCAGTGTTTTTGTGGCTCAAACTGTATAGTGTTAATATGTATTATTGTCTCCTAGTTGAACCATAGGCCATACTCCCTCGTAGATCGATCATACAAGTCTTTTTGATGTTTTACAAAATTCCCTCGGAAGAATTTATTTTGGGTATAAAAAAAGGGAATGGATGCAAACATTGTATTTATTTCTATATCATTTGCATGTTGTCTCTTTGTCTGATTTTACAATGAGTTCTCTTCCATTTTGTGAGCATTATGTAACATGTTTTGTCCAGGATCTGAAAGTTATTTATATGTAGGTAATGAATGCTTATATTTAAGAAGGAAATATTTCTACATGTGCACATAGTTTTCCAGGTGTACCATTCAAATGGTTGTTGATGATAAAAAATAATAATAGTCCAAGTTGCTATGTCATGTTTTTCTTTTGGTTAATTAAATTATATTATTACAGGTTTATATCTTATTTCATCGTAACATCTTTAAAGAAGCTTTTTTTTTAATCATTACTCAAATACAACGTGGTGGTCTTTGGAAGAAGACCGGACATTCTTCAGAACCACAGACAGCTACGCACCGATTACAAATAAGCTTTTCCCCCTAAAACATTGTTAAAATACTTGCATTTGGAGTAACATAATTACATGTAGTTGAAATGCTAATATACATAATTAAATGTGTTTTGTTGTTGAGATACGACAGTTTGAAGAAAAGCTCCAAAGAGGCAGAGTAAATGCAGTCAACTTGAGAAAATACGGAAACACGCCATCTACATCGGAAACAAAAAACAGCCATATTTAAATAATATTAAAGAAACCAATATTTAAAGCTCAACACTGGGCTTTGAAGGTGGAAGTTTAAAAGTTACATAACAGGTTCAGATTGTGTGTGTTGAACAAGAAATTAACCAACACTGTCATGTCAGGCCTTCCTTATCTAAAGACAGTCCTGTATGCATACTGGCTTTCACATCTATTACAATGTATGACAGTATTTGTAAATTTGGGGTCACAATTGTTGGTAATACCAGAAATGATGAACCCATGAAAAACAACTCAGATGCAATGTTTTGGCAACATTCTTGAAAAATTCACATTATTCGATTTAGCACATATTCAAAAGCCCAACCTTATCCCCAACAAGCCTTTTATACAACGTCAGAATCTGGCTTTAAGGTAAAAATAAATCGGTGAATTAAGGAATCAGAAATTACTGACGGATTTGTTTAAACTGTAATAATAGACTTTAATCTCACGTCCTTTTTTAAAGCCTTATTTTTCATGAATTGTCTGCTTATACTATTCTATCTGTCGTCAGCCACAAATCAATTAACAAGCGCTGCAGTAAAAATGTATTTTCTAAAAATATTTAGCAAAGCAAAATGGTTGGTTTCCCGTTTCACTTCTTTGACGCAATTGAATCTAAACCACGTTAAATCTTTGAGGCGGTGCATTAAAATGTTTGGATAATTGGAAACAATAAAAGACAGAAGCACAGTTTTAATTTATAACATTTTATTTATAAACATACAGTATGCTATAAATCGCATTTAAACATCAAATGGATCTATATTTCAGATAGTGTTCGGTGAATATTACAATAAATACAGAACAGACGTGAAGGTTTTCGTTCCCAGACTATCCTGTCTGAATGAGCTCCGTCTCAAAGATCCCGCTATAAGAGACTCAGATGTTTCCGTTAACTAAATGAGAATAAAAAATAAAATACAAACCGGAACAGAAGCTTAAAATACTGCAGATCAGAGAGAGGAACCCGGAGGAGAAGCGAGGCTATAGACGCACTTCAGCTTGCTTTCATACAGCAAATCATTTGGTTTTAGGCTTAAAACGTGCATTTATTTTTACATCCATAATATTTAACCGAGCTCTTCTCATACAAGTCCAAAAAAGAAAAAAGCAATGGACTTAAAATGTCCAGCTGGCAGCACAGATGTTTAGTTTTCATCACCAAATATTGCACAGGTGCTGGTTTGTGTTCATATTACCTCTAAAGATGCAACATGTACTGCTGATTTTTGTGTTTCTGCAATTGTATTAAATGAATCCTACCACTGAGCAAATGTCAAAATTACCTCAATATCATACAGAAGTCTATATCTCTCTAGAATAAAACAACATTCAAAATCAAAAGGTCTCTCCTGCAGTATATACATTTCCAAATAGACAACACTGAGGAATCACAGAGGGGGGGGGGATATGAAATTAAAGTTGTTTTTCATGTAAAATAAGCAGTACTTGAACTGAAGTAAAGCAGATGTGAGGGAGGTCTGCAGTTTAAGGGTTCACATTTGGCCATAATCCCTCGCTACACCCCAAAAGAAATAAAACTAAGGAGAAATGAAACACCATACAGCTGGTGTTTCCCTCCTGCATCACCTTGCTTTCCTAAGGCACATTAAAGTCCTGACTTTCAGAGGAGCAACCTGCTATGACCCAAAAGCACAGCGAGTCAGTTGTTGCCCTAAAGATGCAACTACGTCCATAATATGCGTTTATATATCAGAAGCTAATTGTATTCAGGGGAACAGAACAGAGTCACTGTGAGGGTGACATGTGTTGAGTGAGCTTTACTGTCTGTCTACATGTGTCCGAATGTGACTTTTGTTTGAATCAAGTACTCGTTTAAAAAGGGCACACACTTTGGTCAGAAGTAATATCCTTAATGTCTGAATCTTTAAGTGTTCATTTCCCTACATGTCCCATTGCATGTCTACTGGGTCTCAAGCCAGGTGGCTATGTTGTAAGGACTGCCGATCGGCTCTGCACATTGGGCTGTTTAGCCACAAAAAGACTCGTCCTACTAAACTGGAAGGAACGCAAACCAGCCTGCTTCACTAGGGACTCATGGCTGGACCTGCTGCACATGGAGCGTGCAGCTTCTCTGCTGGGGGGTGTTGAGGCGAGACAGGAGGATTACGGTTCACTGTCCACAGCACTCCTATCTGACCCTGTCAATAGGACATCTCCTGTGTAATGTCTTGTACCCCCCCCCCCCGTTATGTCTTGTTTAGTTGCGAAAAAAATTAAATAAAAAAGGGCATAAAATGTGTGATATTTTTCAGATCCAGTCTGGTTATAAAGAAATAAATCCATACTAAGCTGCCTGATCACATATTCAGTTTTCTTATCAATTAAGGGAGTCTTTATCCAATGATGAATTCCTAAATAATAATGAGTAATATGTGATATACTGCATTTCCATCATATGGAATTTAATGTTTTTTCCAACTCGGAAAAATGATTATGATTGGTAGTAAAAGACTTGAACACCATATTTTCTTATTGCGTGTTCGCTGACCGCGTAGACGTTCACTTTATAATCTAGCTGTGTTTGAAGCATCTTATTGTGTTTGCTTTCCAACATGGCCGCCGCCCCAGAGCAGTCTCTCTCGCTGCATGATGAAACAGGTGGTGGTGCGTGGACCAATCAAATGCTCTCGCATATCAGATGACATAAACACCAAGAAGATATATATATATTTTTCAGACGATAAGACTGTCCCCCGTTTGGCCCCCCTCCACGATGAGTGTTCATTGGTAATGGAGCTGCAGAGGATGCAGAGGACATGCTGTGAAGGACATGATTTTGCAGAGAATTGGTTTGGAAACAGAGATGGGGTTTCTTCCGTGAACCGTGTGTGTTTTTCTGTTGAGCGTCACAACGTGGTTGGCTGTCCGGCCGCTTGGAAAGGGAAAGAGAAAATGATGAGACCCCGTCATTTATTTTATTAACCACAATTGTTTTGGAGGGTTTTTAAAAAGGTCAAGGACATGCAGCTCTAATGAAAGGGATAATGACTTCTGATTTGATTCTGTGGGTTGTGCTGATCCCCAAATGATAGCAGCTGCTGAGGGGAGGTTCATGTGAGCGGTGTCTTTCAGAAGGTGAAAGACAGAAAGTCACTGCTCTCCTCTCCCTGCTCTCCCTTCCAGCCTCACTGTGCCTGACACTTCTTTATTAAAGCTGCACCGGGTCGGATTGCTATATTAAAATACACTCGTCTCATGAGCCACACAGCGGGGCTGCAATAAAGAATTTGGAAAACACCGTACACTTTTTTCTATCATAACAGTGTCAGGTTCACTCTGAAAACAATAAATCACAACAAACCTTTTTCTACCTGGTTTATGAGCGCCGTATTTACACCATCGCCTTATTGGAAACTGCATTTATTCATCAGGCAAAATATGAAATATGGCTGACGTTAGCAAAACAATAAGGAACAACAACACCTCACTCTTTTTGTAATATTAGAACATGATTAAACTCTCTTTACGAGCATCGTGCAGAGACGTTATGCACATATTTCTGCTGGTTGTGCTTTTGGAAATTCCTGTTTTGAATGGATTTAGGGAATATGGAGACAGAATGAAAGGGGGTGAGACTAAAAAGGGAGAGATGGAGGACAGTTTGGGGGAGAGATAAGGGGGAGGTAAGTGGAGGGACTTACAGCGGGAGCGGGTGTAGCACGGGTGGCAGTTGAGGAGGCCGTTTCTGATCCGGACGTCCGTCCCCGTGGTCGTGTCTCCTAACAGTCCCTTACACACCCCGCACTGAAGGAGACAGGGACAGACACTATGATTACAATGAGTTATATTCAGGTAAAAAGGACAGGATATAGCTATTGTTATTTTATAGGTTTTTGTCAAGAAATTCAAATTAAGAACCAAAACCAAAAATCTGTTTCTCAATATTCTTTCTTGCTCTTTTGGTAAGATTTTAAATATGCAAACATTTACATTTGTTGAGTGTAACAGCCCAGACTGAAAGGTAGATTAGTTTGGGACTGTTTTTTTGGGTTATCACATCGTTTTTGTACAATAGCTCTATGGCACAGAATCTTAAGCTTTGGATATAATCCCAATACTTGAGTTTGTTAGTTGGATCAGTGCATTGTTGGTTTGTCTCTTTCCACGGATTTCATGATAACATACTAGACTATCATCCCTTTTATGCGGTCGGCTGCATTCACGAAAAATCTGCACTACAAAACCCCAAAATCTTGCCAAGTATATGTGTCTAATATCTAGTCAGAATATGTCTCTACTCCTGATATAAGACATAATAACGTCAGAAGTGACACTGCAGCGAGATATCAGGTCTTGTTTTTAGACATTGCATCATCTTGTTAAGTCAAAACATCTTATTCTGAGTCGTAACCCTAACCCTAACCCTAACCCTAACCCTCAGACTGTTGTTTTTCACATATTTATTGGAAAATCACCAACATCAGAGAACAGAACACCTTTGAGCATTTGTGGCTTATTAACACAACATGTCCTGATTCTGGTGAAATATAGTTCAACATGAGTTCTCCAGCTAACCTTCTTATTCCAAGAACTCTTACCAAGCTCATCTTCACTTGTTCTATTGGCAGATCTTTGAACTTATTTCAAGTGAAAACAGCTTGTTTTCATCATTTTTTTCAAGTGTGGCGATGCAGTGATTAGCTGTGTTGCTGTGTGGCTGTGGGAGTGTCTCTTAAATGTCACATTTAGGTTAAGTGAGGTTGTTAACTACATCCTGCCACTGTAGCACATCTTGCCTCCTACGACCGCACTTGAAGGTAATGTCATTCATTTCACAGCAGATGAACAAGAAAAGGCAGTGCCGTGTACTGGCCAATTTCCAGCTTGTTGCAGGAAATTCGTTATAAAGTTCCCAACAGAATCGCTCCAATGTTTCATTTTAGTTGTTTGTTTTGAAGTTGTTTTTGTACAACAGTAAAGGGCAAGGATGTTTACTGGTCTCTCTCACAGATTCTCTGGTCATGTGATTGACCAACGTAGCGCGACATAGGGCTGTGTTTCTCCAAAAGTTGAGTGTGTTTGAACTTTTCTATCACAGCTGGAACTCATACGCACAACGAAATATTTGGGAAGTCTGGCGTATTTACGAAGCTCCGCCTACTCCATGTGAATAATGTCTTCTTACACAACATTCATATCGATAATGGATAATTAAATCATTCAGAAAAAGGACAGTGAATGTTCTGACACTGACCTTAAAGCATTGGATGTGGAAGTACAGACTGAGGGTCTCTATGATCATGGCCGCCCCCTTCCCTAACGCCTGCCCACAGCTGGAGCACAGCTTCTTCCCACTGACAGACCTGCAGAGAGAGAGACAGAACAACGAGAGAGACTGAAAACATGATATACGAGAAGGTGTATACTTTAAATGGTGTACCGACTGAATATATGCAGGAAGTCAAATGTAATACCTTTTAAGACCTTTTCCACACATTTTAAGACCTCATCGCCACTTAGAGTTTTAACCGGTTACCTTGGCGACACACTTCACCTCACATTGACTATATACAGTATTGATTGTCCTTCCTCCTTATCTTCCAACCATTTGGACGCAAACTTGCATTTCCCCGTAACGATGTTGTTTAACAACCGGCGTAAACGGACCTTCGCGCTATCAAGCAGTGAGCGTGCGATGTCCTGTTCAGATGACGTCAAACCCAACGGGATGCCATCAATAAACTACAGAATCACACTACACACCTACGCAATGATTACATTCAGGCAGACTGTAGAATACAACCTCTTTGGACCATTTAGATACTTATTAAAAACAAGCTACAAAATGTAATACCTTGGAAAATGCTGTTTAATACTTTTTAATAGCCTTAATTTTTGCTAAATTGATTTATCAACTTTTAATACTTTTTAAGACCCCGCGGACCCCCTGGTATAAGAGAAACAGTTAATATGTTAATATGCTGTTCAAAGATTCAATTAAAAGGTTTTATTGTCATATGCAAAAATCCACCGTGTAGAAATGGCTCCTCCAACAATCCAACATATATAATAAAATAAAAAACACAAAATAAAAAGTAGTGCAAAAAGTGTACGTACATGTAAATAGAATATGATATGTACAGAAGAGAATATGAAATAAAATAATGTAACTTTAAGACAACATTAAATACGGTTGGTTGCGTTGAGCTCAGGTGTTTAGCAGTCTTGTCAGTGTATTGTTGAACTGAATTACAAAATAACAGCCACAATTACAAATGAAATTCCCACTGCATTCAAGGGTCTTTGCTGCAGTGTGACATGTCGGGTGGAGAAATGCCGGCAACAAAGCAGAACATGACGGTGCAGAAATGAGCCCCCCCCTCCTGTTTGTGATGCAGTACCTGTTGGGCGCTGGAGGCAGAGTGTCTGGAGGTGGGGAGCATGCTGCGGGGGGTTTTGATGAGCTGCGGCATATGTTATTTTCAATGGGAGCACTCCTGGAAATGGACAGCAACATGCAACATGATGAGCACAGATGCAGCGACTCTATTGGCTGACAAGAGACCAATCAACAAGCTGGACAAACAAAATCTACTCAGTGATGTCTGGGCGAAACCTCGGCCTTCTTTAATCTTTAAAATGTGGTGTTGTGAGTAGTGTGATTGTTTAAAACACATCTCTTGTCAAAGACTGTGGAGGAAGACTGTGGTACCAGACGCCACCTGCTGGTCAAACAGGTGAACTGAAGGTGTGCCTGCAGAGCCACTGAGTTGCTTTTGACATATGTATTTAAAGTCAAGATTAAATGTGATTGTTTACTATTAGGTTAAAATAAGCAGTGGTATGGTACCTCAGGTTCAGACTTAACACATAGATGAATTTTGTTACATAAAAAAAGTTCCCTAACTAAAGTTCCACAAGGCTATAAAACAATGATTTAAATGGATGTTTTCTAAAATAATACTCATGCAATCAATGCAAAAGCAGCCATGATATACAGGAACAACTACACCTCACCTTTATATTTCTTAAAAACATTTTGGTGTAATAATAGTGTAGTGATATAATAGTGTCGTAATAATAAGTTCATACTGAGGTGGTAACCTGTGCTTATGTGTCTTAAACCCTGCATAATCATTACATAGTTTGTCCTCTGAACTCGTAATACACAATAGATAAATGCATGTCAAATAGGAATCAGACTATGAACTCCAGGTTTTGTTGCAGAACCTGTACAGAAGGCCCCTCTCACACACACACACACTCACACACACCTCCTGTCTCCTGCAGCCTTGCTGAGCTTGTTGCTGTCTGCTGGAGTCTCTTCTGGTTTCTTCACAGGAGTCGAGGTTTTGTTCGTCATCGCAGGAAGTTTTTGGCCGTTCTGCAGACTCTGACCGAGAGCGTCTGCCTGACTGCTGCTCTGACTCAACAAGCTGAGGAACACAAACATTTTTACACGAGTCACATGCTGTTTTATTATTTTATTAAAGGTCACCTATCATGCTATTTTTAGGCAATAGCATAGGTCTCAGATATATAAAAAAACATGTCTATGAAGTGTTTTGCTCAAAATACCAAACAGATCACCCATTCTAGCCATGCCTCATATCCCTCTATTTCACTTCCTGTTTCAAAAGTGCTGATTTGGGGTATATAGCTTTAAAAAAATATATAAAAAAGGAGGGGTCTGAGCTCATGCGGGACCCGGCAGCTACTGTCTAAACTAAATACTGCCGTGATGAAACGCCATATCATGGATTATCAAGGATTATTTCTGAAACAGTTTGGAGCTCAAAGGCTTTCTCTCTTGCCGGTTATACCACAAGGTGAGTTCCTTTTTATTTCCTGCTTCTTCACACACATGCTCTCCAGTACAGGTTAGCTCTGAGTGTTAGCGATGCTAATGTAAACAAAGACCATATTACGTCCAAAACAGTCGGGCATTGTTTCTGATAGCAACGTTTCTGATTGGCCCGTGGGTCCACATTTCAGATATTAGGTCATATCGGACGCAAATCTGGATCAGCTCCGTTGTAGCCCCGTTTTTAGAGATTTGGGTACGGAGGAAAAGAGAGGGTTTTATTTTCTGACGCTTGTGAGTTCCCTGACACACCGGGGATACATCTTTATGTATAAAAGACATCAAAAAGTGCATTTTGCCTGATAGGTCCCCTTTAACTTTCCTTTTCGCTGATCCCACTGGGATTTGAATATTTGAAGCACCCTTGATGGAACCCTGACAAGAAAGCAGGGTTGACAAAAAGTTGCATAAACACAACAATCAAATGAATACAAAGTGCTGCTGATGTATTGAAAACACATAGGTGTTCCCCAGTTTCACTGAACAGTAAAAGTCACTGATCACATGAAATGTTAACTGGACATACACGTGTTTCTTACATGATTGAAATTAACCTGGTGACACAGAGGCCTCGTCTTTAGTTGCTAATTAGTCAGCTTATATGTCTATAATTCGACATTTACCACTTGCGGACAGGTCGCTCACCTCCTGGCTGTTTTCATGCTGTCGTCAGCAGTGCTGATGTCACTGGTTCTGTCGTTTTCTCTCCGTTTCCATTCAACACTTTCTGTGCTCCCCCTCTGTGTTGTCCAATCACAAACAGGGAACAGTCAGTTAAAAACCAATACAAAAAAAACACAACACTCTCGACTCAAGTTATTCCAACTTATTGTCCGCCTCCTGACTTTACACTGAATGAATGCATGCTTCTGCCAAACTATCCCTCATCATTCATCAGCCATTCACCAACTGGCTCTCCAGCAGTTCCTGTTTGCGCTCCCAGTCGGCCAGCGAGCGCACGATGGTGTCCTGAGGCTCGGAGCTGGAGGAGACCTCCCCTCGGGTTGGAGAGGTCAGGGCGGAGGAGCGAGGAGTCAGAGGCGCCACCGTCTCCTCCAGTATCCTACGCTCCTGTGTGATAAGATAAGAACTTTATTGATCCACACTGGGAATATATACTTGTTTCAGCAGCAGTAAGAGATTGAGTGATAAATGAAAATGAAACGAGATAAAAACTACACAAAATACAGATATCATGTGCATTTACCCATCATTCATTTATGATGCATGATGGGTAAATGCACATGAACATGTTGGCCATATTTGTCATACAAAACAAATGGTGTGTAGCATTGCACTAGACATTTTAAAAACAACATATAATATAACATATATTACTCATATATAACAGTATGGGAAAGGTGGAAGAGTTATCAAATAAACATCCATACTATTATTGGATACATTTTTGAGACAGCAAATACTTTTCCTTAAAATAAAAACACAACAAAATATAGAACATTTCACACACATCTTGCCATCAAGCATCAACACACACACACCTCCTCGTGGTACTTCCTCCCCTCCTCTGCCACCTCCCTCTGGGCTTTCTCCCACTCCTCCTTCAGCTTCTCCTGCTCGCGCCGGTACTTTTCCTGTTACCATGGCAACAGACACATTACATATATACTGCACACAGCCTCAACAAAGACTGAACTGTCCGCAGGAGGATATTTTGGCAGGAAAATATGTTTCACGAGCTGAAATATCTGGAATCAAAAGGGTTCGAATAATTTTCTCTCCTAGTGCATTCTGTTTACTTTATACCAAGAAGGGACTAAACTATATAACATGTTCATTTAAGATCCCCTCAGAATATACTTTTAATATAAGCCTTGTCTTAGAGACATATATGAATGCATTGGTTAGCTTCCCCTCTGTTATAGCTAATCACTTGCTCAGATCTGATATCTGTGTGTTAGGAATACAAAGCAAACACAAAAGACCAGAAGCAGGCACTGCGGAGGAAAAGTAGAGCATGCAGAGGTTCCTACACAATTTGTCTCAAAAGCTTCAATATGATTACAGTTGTTCCTTCATGTACATTAATATAACAATCACTGACATTAAAGATTAGTCCAGACAACCACAAAGTACTCTTTTTAGACTTGTGTAGGAGCCCCAAAAGAAGGCAAACATTTCAATATTAAAGATTTTGAGAAAAAGCAAATCAAGCTAGACAGATGACAGATAAAGATCGATGCACAGAGACGACACAGAATCAACCGGGGGGGGGGGGGGAGGGGGAACAAGCTCATCAATGCACCACATTCATCCATCTCATCTCAAACAGTCAAACAGACAAACGAGAAATCTGTACTCGGTTATTTCATTACAAAGATGATACTGCAGATGAGTACAATACATCATAGATTCTAATGAGTCCTTTAAATGTTTAAACTCTGTGGACCTGAGATGCAGCTCTGATTGGCTGAGGAGAGAGAGGGTGATTTGGGCAGCAGCAACAGCAGCAACCTTGGACAGAGTCATTATCTGTGTGTGTGTGTGTGTGTGTGTGTGTGTGTGTGTGTGTGTGTGTGTGTGTGCATGAGATGGAGACAGTGAGCAGAGGTTCCTCCGCTGCACAAAACTGCCCTCTAGTGGTCAATGTGTGCATTGCAATGGTTGGGGTGTGCCTCAACAGAAGGGTAAGCTTAATATAAAAACAAACATGAAGGCAAGCTTTGCAAGTAGCAATGACATGTGATCCATCCATCTGATTCTGAGATGAGCTGGCTGCCACACAGCAGCTTCAAGTGCCACTGCATGATGTAAAGAATGCAGCGAAGTATTCCAGTAAGTGGCTAAATATAGGCTTAAAACAGGGCTATACATTGAAAACGTTTTAGTAGTAACTGTGTAACTGTTTTAGCAAAAGTTGTCAACATCCATTAATTACCCAATCAATACTTAATGGGCGATTATGACTGGCTTATGCATTGACTCATGCATCAAATCTGCCTTGCATGCTAAAAACAATATGCAAACATCCTTAACCTAGACCAAGAGTGAGTGGTGTGTCCATTGAGACGATGCATTCTGAATTAGAAGCCAGTTAATATACTGGAGTTTCTATTATAATCTATACCAGAAAACTATTTGCTGCCGTATATTTTATTTAACAGAGATACATAAAATATTTTGTCAAAACATTATCCTTTTATGAGTTAGCAACATGTCAGAGCCTAATGTAAGGAGCAGCTGCTGGATGCTACAAAGCAAATGATCATATTATTCCTACATTTATTCAGCATATTGACTGATGAAGCTATTCATGCTGTGAAGACAACAATTCAAAACAACTCTATTTGTGATTATCTTTTTTCCTATAGGCTGAGAGTTTTAGAAATAGTTTGTTCACTCAGTTGCTTAAACATATTGGATATTCATAACTAAAAGTCTGCTTTGCACTTATCCCTCACAGTGCCTTGTTTTACGCTCTATGTTCCATGGCACCCCCTAACCTTGCAGACTCATGCTCCATGCTGTGCTCTCAGCTCCACTGTGTACCTGCAGCATGCGCTCCTGCTCTTGCTGCCACCTTTCCTGACGCTTTCGCTCCTCATCCGGGTCCCAAGACCAGCGGTCCCCCCGCCTGGCCTGGGGCAACCCCGGCCCTGACACCTGATAGACCCCAACACACACACACACATGCAAAAATACACACACCACATATTCATGCACACAATCACAACCAACCACCATTCACACACAACCAAACACACTCACCCAAGCACGAAGCCAACGAGAGACCATCAGATAGATATGGCACACACACACAGATATACACACAGATCGTCACCAATGTGCACACACATCCACCACAGGAAAAGAAGAAGGGAAGGGAGGAGACAGAAATAGTTTGTCTACCACAACAGCACTACTCCAATGCTAGCCAAAGGATTCCTACTAAAGGAGAGAGAAGACAGAGAAAGAGAGAGGTGAGCTCAAATGAAAACAGAAGCAGTCTCGGCCGTTTTCTACAGCATCCTCATCTGGCATGCTACACCAACAGCTCTGTGTGCCCTGGGATATGTGGACGAGCTTTGCAATATGACAGTGTTCATAAAACTGCACTTAAAACTAATGCCTGATCTCACATTTTTCTGAAGAACTAAGTGGCAGGGAGTCTTCTTTTACAGTATATATTCCTTGGTTTACGTTATGTTAATACTTAGAATACCTTTTTGTTTTTTTATTAATCTCACCTTCAGATGTATGTAATGTTTTCAGAATTTCCTTTCACTCTGTGTACATTTACTCAGTTGAACTACACTACTGTATTAACCCTTGTGTTGTGTTCGAAAGCTGCTAAGTTCATGGTGTTCGCGGGTACATTTTGACCCATGATTTATTTCAGTCCAAAACACACAAATAAAATGACTATCATCCAATATTGTTTTAACTACATCATAACTAACTTATAATGCATTCATAACCGTACAATCCTGTTGTAGTTTAATTATATGGGCCCAAAACACATAACACCACATATTGCACACGTGCATGTGTGTGTTCAGGTTCAAGTGTTGGTGTACATATTCTTTGAGAAAGGTGGAGTCCCCGTGGGGGGAGGGGGGCAGAGGGCGGGGAGACCAGGTGCATGTTGCGAAAAATGATTGTTACAGTGGATGAAGGGGGTGGGGGAGGGGTGTCAAAAGTCAAAGATGAATCTTGATTGGGCCAAATTTGACCCCGAGTCACCCACAACAATTCTGCTGGGTCTCCCCAGACCCGAACAACAAATTATAATTTTTTTTTTTAGAGACCTTCAGACGTGGCTAAAATTGTCCAAATCAGTTTTGTAGTGTTTATATAGCTGTTGTGGAGGACATCATGAAGCCTTGTTCCGATAAAAAGAACTAGAGCGTAGTTATTATATCATTTTAACTTGAAACGGGTCACCCGAACACAACATAAGGGTTAATGAGATAAGCCAGATGAGAAGCAGTAAAAGGTTTCTTTCATAGTCTGACCACAAAATATTATGCGGCCAGGTGATGGTTTTCACTCACATTTCCACGCAGATCCTTCTCCATGTCTTCTGTAAAGAAAGTGTGACAGGAAACATTATTTAGAATACATTTCATAAATTAAGTCTTGAAACAGGGGATCACTTGATGCCTTTAGATGCGTCAAATACTTAGGTGAATGACAACATGCCAGGGAGTTAAGATGCTGAAGAGAGAAAATACATAAAGAGAGCAGTCCACCAAAAGCAACACATTGCATCTTAATCTAGCCCATACAGGGCCGTTTCTAGCTCTTTGGGGGTCCTATGCAAGATGCTGTTTGGGGGCCCTAGTTTTTACAGTTTTTCAACTACAATGGGGGGGGATTCCGAAGCCTTTAAGATGATCTGTGGAGATGCATCAATCTGTTCCACTTTAAGAGGAAAACAGGCTAATTTCACGAAAACCAAGCAATTGAAACTTACAAAAAATTATATTAAAAAGGTAAACAATAAGGCTCCTCTACGTCTATAAATGCAGCATTTTCTCAACAATGTATAATTTACATTTTTCATCTTCCTCAGACGTCACTCATTGGCTGACAGCCCAACGATGATTTGGACTTTATTACCCCAAAAACACAAGCCACAGCTTTGCTATCATTGCAGTTTAGTTGTGTTTATATCCTACATTTGATTTTTAAGCATATAATGCTTCACCGAACACAGGAGGGGGGCTTGGCTGTCTACAAATAGAGAGGCGAAGTCCCTCCCTTTCCGGGTGAGCTCCATGGGTCCTTATTTCGGAAAAAGTATGTATTGAAGTCAATGGGGAGAGAAAGATTATCTTTCAATCCCGTTTGAATTGTGCCACAAATTACAAATATGATGTTTGTCGATCTTAAAAAATAAATTCCATGTCGTAAAACCACTCAATGAACTACATCTCCCGCACCACACACCAAGACGGCCGTCACGTTGGAACATCTCACTTCTTTCTTTCAGAATGAGGCGAAAAGTATTAAAAGAGGTGAAAATCACTACAAGTCTGGGCACGTTGAGAGCTGTGCATACACACAAGGGGAGTTAGTCGGTTCCGTAAGAGCCAGCATGCGGGACCGGGATTCTGGGATTTGTAGTCTTTCTAGTTGCGTATTTTCCATAGTCTTATATTTCAACAGTTTTACGACAAACTGTGACTTTTTTGACATGGAAATTATTTTTTAAGATTGACAAACATCATATGTGTAATTCGTGGCACAATTCAAACGGGATCGAAAGATAATCTTTCTCTCCCCATTGACTTCAATGCACCAATTTTTGGGAAATAAGTAGATGGGCGGGACTTCGCCTCTCTATAAAGACGGCTAATTGTAATTCTCCCCAAATATATTGAGGCTGAACCTGAACTTTCAGCTTGGGGGCCCCCTAGTGGCCGCGGTGGCCCTATGCATCCGCACAGTCCGCCTATAGGAAGAAACGGCCCTGAGCCCATAAGTAGATGAAGAAATACATCTCTACACGTCTGCATGTATCTGGTCTTTATGTTTGAATGGGATCAGCTAGTTATACAGGTAGACCTTATGTAGCTTTTGGTGGAAAACGTAGTCATGCCAAGCACAATGAGGCAAACATAAAAGTGAAAAAATACCCATGATGATTCTTACTAATTGTAGGTCACCTGTTTAATTTGTATTCAACATGATGACACACTTAAAACATGACCACACAATAATAAATAAGGATTTGTACACCATATTCTTTAAAACACATGAGTGGAAGAGCACATCACTGATCATCCACAGACTGGAAATGAGTGAACAACAAGAGATGGGACTGGAGGGCTTTGTCTAGCCCTTGAAGAAACGGCAGGGAAACTCTGTGGGACGGAAACATGAGCTCCACCGATGAATGAAGAGTTTACCTGGTGGAACGAAGAAGTCCCAGCGTAACTTAGGGTTGCTGGTTGTCAGCGAAGACCTGACACTGTTTGCAAACTCTATAGCGATATAAAAAAAATTGTGGGTGAAAGGAAGGGAGGAAAGGAAGGGAGGAGAAGAGGGGAGTGATGAAGGATAGACAGATGTCAAAACCAGGAGTTGGTATGGACATCAGAGACATTTGGGAAAGCTTTTACCAATTTGCCACCTAGAATGTAAATAACAGCAGCCCGGAGGAGTTTTAAATTAAAGAGAATAAGAATAATATTTTCTAAGTTTATATTTATTGAAAGGTCTGCCAGATCACCTTTTCTCACATTAAAATTAATTAGAAATATTATTTTGTTAATATCTTTTATCCTTTGATTTGATATTATCAAAATAGGAGATAATATAAAGGCTTCAATGGGGATAATGTTTTAATTGAAAAAATAATCTTTAGTCTAACGTCAGAATAAACAACCAATAACAACAATCGCTATCTAAAAAGCAATAGATAACCTCTTTATAGTTTTTTTTTGTTTGATCTCGGGTCAAATGGCAGCCAAGCTGTCCTCCCTGCTGTCCTCCCTGCTGGACAATGTGTCCCACCCCCTCCAGGACACCCTGTCCTCACTGTGCAGCTCCTTCAACGATAGGCTGCTGTAACTTGCTACTGTTAAATACCAACCACCCATGTGCAATATGTGCGAGATGTGCAATATATATAGATGACGTTAATAACTGTGTAATATATACCTGGCTGGTAAATCCTAAGAACTGTTACAGGATGTGTAATTTTTTAAATGATGTAACTTTTTTATTTTTTATTATATCATAACTTAGTACTTTTTTTGAATGCATGTCATATATTTAACATATGTAAGATTAAGCTGTCTGTGGCTCTTTTCCCTGCTGTAACTACGCAAATGTCCCCTCCGTGGGACTAATAAAGGTATTCTGATTCTGAAATAAGGTTGTGTGCCAGTCTACATTGAGAAAAACGAATAGGGGAATTTAGAGCCAATCAAAGATCTTAGTCTGTTTACACAGGAGTTTATGCAGGTTGAACACAGAAATATAAAAAAAAACCTTTACTCTTGATTTAAATATAATTGGATACAAGATAATAGAAAGAGTCTTGGCGCATTTCCACTGCAGGGCCTCGCACGGCTTAGTACGGTATAGTTAGGCCTTGGTAGGCCAGGCTCACTTTATGCTGCGTTTCCATTACAGTTTAGGAACTGGGGTAGTAACTATAGTAACGCATTGTAGGCGGAGCCGTGACGTCATCTTCAATGAGAGCCCCAGAAAAACAACACAGCCGTTAGCTCTTAGCACTCAGAGCTCACAGCTCCTCATATCTGTTCAGAAACTAGACAAAAGTGAAACAAGTACAAACCACAGACTGCCTGTGTCATGGCGAATACAGTCGCTGGTTTATTTATGTCTGTAGGCCGTTGTTGTGAGTGTGGACGGTCGGAACATATACAACGTTAGCTTAGCCAATCCCGATTCAGAAAACATGCATTTTAAAAGGTTTTTTTCGCCTGCCGTCTGTCTGCAGACTTGTCAAAGCATTAATTCATGTTTTTTACTAACCGGTATCAGTATGTTGTTACTTCAGTATCATTTTGAAACGTGTATTACAATTAAATCACGGTCATATGTTATGTTCATTTTGTTGTAGTTGCCAGCGATTCTCTCACTAGTTTAGCATACTCAGCCCGGTTGTTGGCCCGGAAAGAACCTCGATTTTGGAGAGCCAGAAAAACTGTGAAAAAGTACCCGCTAGCCGGAACTACCCCTAGTGGAAACGCAACCAAAAACGGGCCGGGCATGACACGCTTAAACCGCGCTGTAGTGGAAATGCGCCAGCATAGGCTCTAAAGCAAAAGAGGAAATAAGCCAGCAAGGAGGATATGCTAATCAAACTCAGGAGATGCATGGGAAAAGAAGCTGCTGGCTCTGTTGGAATGAGAAGCGTTCACTGACCTGCTGCAGTTTCCCTCGGCGGGTGATATTCAAATGACTCAGGTGCGGCTAGGCTCGGTACGTTTCCCCTTCTCTGTGACACCTCCAGGGAACTTGGCACAATTGTCTGCAGGGAGAGTCAAAGATTATACGTTGAATGGCTGGTTGATTGGTCGTTTGTATTATTTTGGTTAGCAGCCTCACCTGTAAAATAATTGGCTGACTATGCTTTGTGCTGACTCCTGACGGGACGAGGTTGGAGACGTTTTGGCCAGATGGTTCAGTTTGTTGTTCTTGTTTGGCTTCTGAAAACACATATTTTATCACTGATGTTATCATAAAAAAAAAGAGAAAAGCAGACACTGGAGAAACCACAAGGGGTCAGTGTAGCAACATGCTGTTCAGACCTGTAGGAGGCGCTTGTTGAGCTGCAGCATTTGACTTCTCCTCCTCTGCAGCAGCCTGACTTCCTGTCTTCTCAAAGCTTTCTTCTGGCTTCTGCAGCTCCTGTTAAGGGTCACAGAGGATTTCAAAGATTAATTATATATCCATCCTGAGTTCAAGTAGAGAGTATCACAAACTAGCCTGAGATCAAGAGGCTTATCAGCAGATACCAGGGCTAGCGTTGGAAGACTGTGTTTAAATAAGTCAAAACTACTTTCTAACGTTTCAAATTATTTCTGTAAGAAGCAAAAGGGAATGAGTGCAGTACGATTTCTGACAGCCAGGAGAGTAGCAGGTTCATTATAGGGTCTTTATAGCCCACTGATCATAATGTGTTCATAATTATTTTCAGATTTATGTAATCGTCTGTAAAAAAAATCCTGACCGATGGGAGTGATGTGGGCCGGCTTGGTTGCGTCAAATTCTCAATGACTTTCTGTTCTTGTGCATCCTTAGAAGCCGGTTCTGTGCCACTTTGTTCCTCCCTGGCGTTCGTCGCCACTGGGCTTCCTCCTCTGGTCGAGGTGTGTGCTTGTGAGGCTGCTGACGAGGGAACATCTACAGTGCTGCTGCTCGTGATGGAGGGAGACGCCTGGTACTGCGGAGGAGATTCCCTTCCTTGCCTCTCAGGAGTGGTGAAAGCGTCATCACTTCCTACGTCGCCGTTAACCCGGAGCAAAGCATCAGCCTAAATAACAGAGAACAGGTTTTAATATTTTATAACTGCACTGCAAAGTTCACTGATATGCTCAAATCATAAAAGGTGATCTAAGAAATGTCCAGACAATACCTTGACCTGAACTCTTCACAAAAATCTATTTAATAATACATTTCAAATAGGCGTTATTTCACATACACCAGTCCTGTGAAACATTTTGTATTTGCTCACTTATTCTAATAAATGTCATTATGACCAGTCCAAGATGTGGGAATGAGTCGTTAAATATTCTGGTCAAATGGATATTGTTGCAATTTTGTTTCATTTGAAGATATTTTGGAACACTTTGTAATACAAAATAAGTGTATATGATCACATTTTGATCTGTATAAGATATAAAAAGGTCTATATGTAAGTATTTTCCGGTTCTTACTTGCAATAAAACGTAGGAACATTTAGTTTCTAGATATGAAACATCTGTAGGAAACATTGACCGCTACAACCAGGCTGCTCTAGCTGTAAACTAGATGAATTGATGACGAACAAAGAAATTAAAATAAACCCAGTGCCCTCATTTGTGTTCATTATCAGGCTCTCATCTCTGTCCGTTATTAGCTATTCATCCAGCTCACAACACCGTGCTGCCTCAGAGACAAAGAGGCAGTAATGTATGTGCGAGGAGCTCCTAGTGAGCGGTAACTTAAGACACAGCGGTGCAGTTGGGTGAATGCAGGCTCTCAGTCCCCCCCCAACCCCCCCGCTTCCACCTTCTCATCCCTCTCCGAGCAGCCTGTGTGGGCCCTCTTTGTCCGCTGGGAGCCCACTTCACATTGAGAGGGCCCTACTTGTCAACTTCTTAAGTCAATAGGAAACAGAGGGCTCCATTGAAGCCGGGTTTTGCTCAGACTCCTGACAAGACATTCCAGAAAAGCGCTGTGCTCAATGTAGTCTGGTAATAATCTGCCCCTCCCTCCCCGCCACGCCAAAACACAAGATCTCATTTTCAATATTCCCATTAGGAAATATTTGCAGAAGAAAAGGAAATGGATCCTGTCGAGAGCACTTTGAGCTAAATTGAAACATTACATGCTTCTTCTCTGAGGGGAAGTCTTGTGTTTTCCTAGAAACCAGCCGGCTCATTACCATTGCCGTCCGGTGGCATTCAGTGTATCTGCCAAGAGGAGGGGGGGGGGTTTGCCCTCCAGCCTGTGAGGAGTGTGAAGTTACTCCATGTAAAGTGGTCAGGACTCTAAACATACCCACTGGAGCACTGTTGTGGTTAGGGATGTCACAAGAACCAATACCTTGGTACAAAGTAGGGCGATTATGGCAAAAATCATAATCACGATTATTTTGGTCAATAATTGATATCATGATTATTAAAAACGAAATCCATTTACTTTGAAAACATCCATTTATTGAAAAAAATGTTTTGAACAGTTGATTACCCTGAACTTTAAGTATAATTCAACTGAAAAACCAATAAGAATAAATAAATAATAACATTTTTTTAATAAAAATAATAATCGTTTTATTTCGATTACGTTGTGTTCGTAATCGTTGCAAGCCAAAATCGTAATGGAGTACAAATTCCAAAATTCTTAAATGTTATGGTTCTTACTTTTGACCCGGTAGTACAGTCAGGGCTTGAGCCTAAGGTTGTCCTGGTAATGATAGAAAATATATTTGTGATCAAATAAACTCACTATCTGTGTCCGGATGTTCCTTTTGATGAATGCAGGGAGTTCCAAAAATTAAAGTTTCAAAGTCTCAAAAATGCTACAACTACTGTCACAAACTGGATGAATGTGAAGTATTTTGGAGGAGGATTAAAGGAGGATGAAAGCGTAATGAAGGAGCACTATTGGAGTGACTTTGATGGTTATTGGACTCAGGATGAATTCATTAAATTAAAGGACGGCGCAAGTGGAAACAATTCACAAAGGGATTAAGCTGTTAACACATGCTCAAAGTAAGCCGGATTTTGCCGATGTGTTTATGTGGATTCAAAAAAGTCGTAAATAATCTACAAAATGGAGGAGACCGATCTGATCGGAGCAACTGTGACAAATAATCCAACTGAAACCGGCATGGACAATGACTATGTTTTAAAAATGCGCTTATCCAGACAAGCCTGGTTTGGACACTTTACGGGCAGAAGAAACATTTCTATTAAAGACATAATTATAAATGTCTGTCTTTTTATGCCTTTATTAGCTACTAACTTGAATTTTTATTAAAATTAATGAATCAACTATTTTTTATATTGTATTGTAATGTAGAGACAAGGCTTTTAGTGACAATCATGTAAAAAAAAAAAAAAAAAAAAAAATCTAAATATGATATTTGGCCTCAAATCATCTGAGGCCTGGCGCCCCCCCTGCGATCTTTGGCGCCCCCCAGGTTGGGAACCACTGCTTTAAGAAACTTCAATAAATATAGCTGGTTAAAAGAGATGTTTTTCACAGGAATTTCAAATGGATATTGGATAGGGAATTATGACCTCATCAACTTCTCAACAAAAAACTGTATGTACAGAATAATAAATTAGTATATGTTAAGGTACATGGCTTTTATTGTTTTGTAACGTGGTTTGGAGCATTTTGGAATTTCATTTACTACATTTCTGCTAGTTTTTGTTAAACTAATCATAACTAAATCATTGCATGTTTGTATGAAGAGACATTTAAATGAATAAGAACAATATTTAAGTAAATAAGTACTTTACACTGCAGGAGCAGTGGGGCGATTTCACTGCGACCATCAAACACTTGAAAAAGCAACAACCCACATTTTGAGGATGCTTTAACCGGTCGATCGCGGGGAGATTCCCAGTCGATCGCGAGATGTGTCTAAAAATAGAACAACAATATTCTGTTTTATCGTTAATGTCCTATAACATAATCTTCCTGTGCCAGAATAATGCACTTGAACGCATCAAAGCTTAGTGATTGGCCGGCGTGACCCCATGTGTCGGGACGTGGCTGGTGGGCATAGTTCGCTGATGTTGTCCATGTCAACAGGGTTGCGTTCCGATAATCCAAAAATCAGCTCCTAAATTCTAACCCTATCTCCTATTCCTTGACCTCTGAGTGAAACGTCACGGGGTTAAGGGATAGTGGATAGGAGAATTCAAAAGGACTTTCACTATCCGACGTGTTTATGATGCGCCAGCGGACGTCATGAATGTGCGTCTGCTGCTGTGGGGTAACCATGGAAACTACAGTTTTCTATACAGCGGACTACAACATGGATGTTCAACTCATCTAGAGACTCTGCACCGTGCTCTGATGCTGTTGCTATGCTTTATGAACGTGGACAACAGAGAAACATATTCTTCATGACCAAAGTTGGAATTGAAATAAAAAAGGAAAGTGAAACTTATGCTCGTCACCCTCTCCCTCCGGTCCACATTAATACAAATGATCCCAATACGTATGATTGTATGAAAATATCTTAAAATAAATACAGATGTATTTATTATAAACGTTAGTCCTTAACATCTATCACTGTGTATATCACCATTCAAACATCTTTTAAAAGTTGAACAAACCCCACACAGCTCAGTAAAGACTGTGAGATGTTGACTTTATTTGATCATTTCAGTAAAAACTAACGTTCATATTTCTCTTTTTGATTATAATACTGATGAACGTTCAGAAAAAAGCACTTTGGCAACTTACCACATACGTTTTAAAATGCTTAATAAGCACCGTAACTTTCATGATATCATTTCTCGGTCATAATCGGTTGTTTCCGTGAACGGCCGACTGTTGTGATGGCAAATGCTGCGGCTGCAATGCATTGTGGGGCAGCATTTTCTCCTCTCCTTTCGGTTAGGGAGGTCCAGTGGTTCCTAAGCTAAAGGAGGTTATAAAGGAAGTTTGAAACATCCTTTCCTTTCATTTGGAGAATTGGAACGGCACTTATCATGGCTGCCAGTGACGTACTTCCGGGTCATTTCACTCTGTTAGGAAGGTTCCTAAGCTAAATGGACTATTGGAATGCAACCCAGGAGTGACAGTCCGCACACACACAAGACCGCAATTATGGCAGAAGCAAAAAAGCCCAAAATATATCATTTTCACTCCGAGTGGGAGGATGATTATTTTTGTATTTATTCCAATTCAAAGTCCATCTGTCTCATCTGCACTGCGAGCGTAGCTTTATCGAAGAAGGGTAATTTAGGAGCGGCATTTCAAAACAGTGCACAAACGCTACGAGACGGAATTCCCTCCTAATTCTGCCCTACGCTCCCAAAAGGGGAGGGGCCTGAAAGGACAGCTAAATGCACAGCAGTCCATTTTCACCAGGCCCAACAACAAGAGCAAGGCTGCTCCATAGCATCTTATCGTGTCAGTCACGTTTTTGAGAAACACATGAAGTCTTTCAAAGACGGCGAAGTTGTGAAAGAAGCATTCCTGGAGGCTGCCGACACGCTTTTGGGGGAACAGTAAAAATAACAGTAGCATTTCAACAGGTTTTTGATATAATAAAACTCAAGTTAGATACCGTTATTAATCAGCTGTAAGTTTTAGTTTGTTTGAACTTATTCATTATAATTATTGTACAAAATGGTATAAGAATGCAAACTTCAATTGATTATAGTCTATTATCAATTCAGGTTAAGAAACTAGTGTTGCTTGCATCCTATTTTAAAGGCATTTATCTTTATACTCTACTAAAATGCAACAAAAATGGGTTTGATTCTATTAATTTTGTCTCTTTTATTGCACTTTGGCAGCAGATTCCTGTGTAGCTTCAGATCTGAGTTGTCTTAAGCCTAATTTATACTTTTGTAGCAACACTATTTTTATATAATGGCAAAGAAAGGGTTCAGTGTCTTTTATTTTTTTCCTGTGTCATATGTGGCAGCACTGTTCAATGTTTCTTGAAAACATTACCCACTGTAGTATGTGACGTGTGAATAAACTCCAACTCTGTATCAACAACACTGTTGTGTAACTTCAGTTAAATACTTGTATGTGTGTAGATCAGAAAGAGGTAAGATAAAGGATCTGCAGTATTTTATGAAGTATTAATCGTACATAGGTCAGTTGTATACAAGTAGAAGTGTGTATTTTCCTGGTAGTAGGCTGTCAGTAATGGCTACGCCTTTCTATTTGTACTGGTAGATCTCAGCAGACTGGCAACTTTAAAAGTAGCTCTCGGTTCAAAAAAGGTTGGGCACCCCTCCTTTAAAGCATATTTACATCAGCAAATATTTTTATTGTAGGGCAGTAATCTGTGGAGGTAGTCATGATTTATTCTGAGTCGGTCTCACCTTGCTGGGCCATGGTTCCCCCGCTGAGGGTCGGGGCTGGAAGTAAGGCTTGGGCGTCAGCAAAGGCACCGGTTTGGGCGACAGGGTTCTGTTGGACGGCGGCTCAGACGAGCGGGAGCGGATCTGAGGCCGCTGGTGAGAGGGCTCCTTGGGAAACTCCTCCACCCGCGCCTCCAGTGTAGACGTGAACTTAGGAGCCGGGGCCGACTGCTGTCGAAGATACCTCAGGGGCCCGTGGGGGTCAACGTCAAAGGGGTCAGGGGTCATCGGGGAGAGGGAGATAGGGAAGGATGAGATGGGTAAAGAGGGATCAGCAGATATACTGCGGTCCAGGATATTTGGCAACTGTAGGCGCTCCATGACGGATTCACTGATGGAGAAGCGCTGGGCGTAATGTTGGAGGATGGCCGACGCCTCCTCTGGAGTTCTGGCTTTTCTGTACGCTTCCCGCAGCTCAAGCTCACGACGCTCCCTGTTGGATAGGAAGGGAGTTTAAGTAGGATGAAAACTGACATGACCCAATTTGATTTATATTATATGCACAATATGTACGCTGATGTACTCGTAAAAGTAATACGTCCCCATTCTTGGAAATGAAAGTGAATAAAGTTTGTGGATTTTAATGCAGAAAAGCTTTTACTACTCTCTGTTGTCAATTTACATTTCTACTAATTCAACTCAAACTATATTTGTACCATCATACCATCTATTTCATTTGTTCTCCTTAATTACATTACATTACATGTCATTTGTTAGACGCTTTTATCCAAAGCGACTTACATACATTAATTGAACCCCATGAGGAGACACTGTCACCTTTGTGCCCACTTATAGTATTTACAAAGCAGATTAAATGATCTTTGAGAAAGACCCAGTTTTCCATTACACTACTTTGTTATGTACATACAGCTTTGTTGTTTGAGCTGAACACAGATGAATCGTCCTTTTAATGTGTATGCCACGTACTTGTCCTGCACTATCTCTCTGTATGTCTTGATGCTTTTCCTCCTATGGGAGGTACAGATTTCTCCTGACATCAACTGCTCCATCATCTTCCGTTCCTCCTCCTTCTTGATCAGGTCCTGGGAGATACTCCTCCTCCGATTTTTCCATCGGGCCAGGTCCTGACACACAAACAGATCAGAAGTGTTTCAGTTCCAAGTGAAGCAAGGCAAGAGTGCTCAGCAGCAGTTCTGAGACCTGAAGCACTGCTGTGGACCTAGAAAACTGATTAAAGTTGCTTAACTGGGGCACAGCAAAACAAGTTCATGCTTTTGGCCTGCAGGCAGTAAAACCAACTGTCTGTCTGTCTGTAGCAGGGTTTCCGCTAGGATTTTTTCTCGCCGGACAGAATTTATTTTACCGGATAAATTCGAAACTTACCGGTCATGTTTCAATAACAGTCTATCTTACAAACGCAACTATAATGTACACCTAGATTGACGAAAGAATGACAACGACCTCAAATCAGTTTGACTATTTAATGAACAACAGAAACGATTAAACAAAACTAACAGGAGCGATTGAGCAAAACCTCATTAGCCGCTAAAATGTAGGCTATTAAAAAAAAAACACGTGTAACATCTGGAGCCCGTTTTAAAAAAAGGCATCACATTTACCCTAGGCTACCCTTTTTACTTTCTCCTTGCTTTCATTGCGGCAAAGTCCTCTGCTGCAGAGCTGAAATGAAACGTGTCCAAGGTGTCTTTGCAGCTTGCAATACGCATAAGCCGCGTCACTCTCTCCTCCTCCAGACGACTCCGCAGTGATGTCTTGACACGGTTCAGCAAGGAGAAGCCCCTCTCTGCAGGCACGCTTGACACGGGCAGAACACAGGCAATTTTAGCCAGTCAGGGTACAGCTCGCTGAACTCACAAATGAGCACTTTGCAAGCTGTGGCAAAAGTTAAACCCCCATAGCCGTGGAGCGCTGTCATCACTGCCACTGCATCTCGCCGGGCGCGCTTGACATCGATGAGAGGTGCAGCAGCTGATTCAGTCACTTCATGGCCAAAATATGCAATGACCATTTCAGTGGCGTCTCTGGCATATTCCTGAAACGCTGAAAGGATGTATTATTATTATTATTATTAGTCGTAGTAGTAGTACTATAGGCGCCATTTCCTAGTTTATATTCAACAGGAAATGCCACAGCGGTAAATAGTTTTAAAAGTCTCAAAAGTGTACAAAACAGTGGAACAAACTGGATGGATTTAAATTATTTCGTAAAGGAAGAAATACATCTTAATTAAGGAGCACTATTGGAGCGAATTTGATGGATATTGGGACGGAATTATTTAATTTGGATGCCCGCTGTATAGGCTACTATAATAGTAGGCTAGCTACTAGCAAGAGATAAAGAGAGTGTCAGGTGCTGCGCAGAAGTTATATATTGTAGAATATGTGCCGATAGGATACAATGAATATGACCAAGAGAAATGTTGAGAGAATTGCTTACCAGACTGTGCATGGGGGTATCGGGAGGGGTTCAGAAGGATGTCGAGGGAGCTGATGAGATCCAGAGTGTCATCGGGGAATCGGTCTTGTAACGCATTGATGAGATGCTGAATGTACTTTGATCGTACGTTTGTGTGAGCCTGAATGGACCTTTCATTCAGATGTGTCACTTCCACATTTCTATACTTTCCATCTTGGAGATCATTTTGGAATTCCACCTCCTCTGGGCCTAGCTCATCTTTCAGCTGTGTAAGACCTGCGATAGATGCGTGCACAATTGGCCTGATGCTGCTAAGATTGGCGTCCTCCTTTTGAAAAACCAAACTCAAATTGGTCATCACTGGAAGTACATCAGACAGTGAGTGGGTGAGAGCAATGAAAGAGTACTGCTGAATCTGATTTTGAATACCTTGGGCTTGGGTATTTCCGTTCACTTTTTCACTGTTCAACTCCATTACCAGAGCAGGCCAGTTGCTTTTAACACTTTGCACCGCGTTATGCAAGGACAGCCAACGGACGGCGCATGGCCGTTTCAAACTAACCATGTCTTCATCGCTTAGGGTCGCTGTCAGCTGACGGAGGCGATTCGTCCTATTTGCGGAGTGCTTGTAGAATGAATGGATTGTATTCACAGTGCGTCTGTATGCGCTCACCTGACTCACAGCATTTGCAGCATCTACAGCTGCAAGTGCAGCTCGGTGAGCGACACAGTGCACCTGGATCAAGAAGGGATTTACTCTCTTCAAGAGAGCACCAACTCCAGCACGTTTCCCTGTCATCACACTGGCTCCATCCGAGCCCAGGCCCATGACCTTTGATAGCTCAATTCCTCTCCCTCTCAGCACCTCCACCACTTTCTCATATATGCACTGCGCAGTTCCGGAATGCAAGTTGTAATTGCCCAGGAAAAAGTTATCAATCTTGCCCTTGTTTTCAATCTTGGCATATACGATTAATTTATTTTCCACTGTAATACTGACAGTCTCATCAATGATGATTCCAATGAATTCACTGGCCTTAAGTTTTTCGTCAAGCTGCCTCATAATAACACCCTCCAGTGCCCTCTCCATGTCACACAAGGATTCGCTATGCTTGTAAATGCCGTCATCGGTTCCAAAATTAGGAGCCCCTACTGCCCTCAGTAAATCAGTCATTCCTCTGAACTGGTTACCTGGAATATCATTTTTGGTCATGTGAAACACCACTTTTAATTGGGAATGCAGCTTCTGGCTGCTCTGTTCTTTTGCGCTGTCGATATGACTTTTCATAGCCATTTGTTGTTGTCCTGCGTGAACTGCGAACGTATGGTCTTGGCACTGGCTGTGCTCTGTCAGGGCTGATGCTCTCATGTTGGTTGATCCTCTGGTAAAGCCATTTTTCCTCCCTGACCTAGCACAAAGGGAGCAAAACATTTTTTCCACTCCATCGACACTTTCGCATTGAAGCCATTTGAATTTCTTCTGCCAATCAGCTTTAAAGTGTACTCTCGCCTTCTTCACCGCTGGACCTGCGGTTTCGGATGTTTGCGGGGTTGCTTCATCAGGCACAGAGTCAGACTCAGAGGTAGGCTTATCGACAGGCTTACTGCTATTTTTGAGGAAAAATGTGTGAATGTTGGATTGTTTAGCCATATCTAACTGCGTGCCACGAAGGCAACTGATACATTCCTTCAACGTTTACTAGGCCTATAATAAGTATTACAGAAGCTCGCGAGTGTGTGTAATGTGTATGACGTGTTTGTGTCTAGGTCTATTGTTCGTTTCCCGGGGAAAACTCTCAGAAGAAACACCGGCTGTTGTTATGCCTGCTGTGACGTAAAGTTACTCCGTTCTCCGCTTGTAATTATGCCGAAGCTTCAAAGTTGTATTTATCATCTGAATTTGCCGAAACAAGTTTAATATTCTGAAAGCCAAGACTTTGTTTATTTGAAATCAGATGAAAACCAACTCTCACGGACCCTGCCGTGCTATCTATGATTACTATACACCACATTCATAATTTCAGCCGGAGGGAGGGCGAGCGGCGCTGAGGAAGAGCAGGGTGCGAGTGAGAGGTGCCTGTCATATTCCCTCAGGGAGGCAACAGGAAGTTCCCTGTCAAATCCACGTTTATTTTTTAAATGAGCCGTTGCGACTTCCGACAGATTTCGATAGAGAGGGTCACAAATGTCTAGGGATAGCATACGTTATCTAAGTTTTGTATGAGCATTATTATCGGACATTTTGAGCGGCAGGTTTTGAATTTACCGTTTTTTATAAATGTTACCAGCTAAAAACCAGTAATTACCGGCTAACGGAAACCCTGGTCTGTAGGTCTGTCCTTCCTTCTGTCTGTCTGTCTGTCCGTCTGTCTGTAGGTCTGTCTGTCTGTCTGTCTGTCTGTCTGTAGGTCTGTCTGTCTGTCCGTCTGTCCGTCTGTCTGTAGGTCTGTCTGTCTGTCTGTCTGTCTGTCTGTCTGTCTGTAGGTCTGTCTGTCTGTCTGTCTGTAGGTCTGTCTGTCCGTCTGTCCGTCCGTCTGTAGGTCTGTCTGTAGGTCTGTCTGTAGGTCTGTCCGTCTGTAGGTCTGTCTGTAGGTCTGTCTGTAGGTCTGTCTGTAGGTCTGTCCGTCTGTAGGTCTGTCTGTAGGTCTGTCTGTAGGTCTGTCTGTCTGTCTGATAAACTACTGACACAAAGGGTGCAATAAAATCAAACTGTGCATTTGAGACAATTGTAGTCGTAATGCAGAACGAAAAATCTGAGCCACTCACATCCTGCCAGTGGTCGTCTTCTTCCTTCATCTCGTTGTACTGGTTGAGCATCAGTTCATGACGCACCTGACTGTGGGGCTGCAACATGGCCTCCTCCTCATCTCGCATGTCAATCATACTCACACTCCTGAGGAGAGGAGGGGGACAGACAGAGAACAGGGATTTTAAAAATCATGCGTTGACCAGAGTACAATAGTTTTTTTTGTATTTACTGTAGATAGTCTGCTAGTAGTTCTCTAAATGTCCTTGAGTGCATTGTACTATAGAGAGGCGAAGTCCCTCCCTTTCCGGGGGGAGCTCCATGGGACCGTATTTCGGAAAAAGTATGTATTGAAGTCAATGGGGAGAGAACGATTATCTTTCGATTCCGTTTGAATTGTGCCACAAATTACACATATGATGTTTGTCAATTTAAAAGATAACTTTGCCAGTCAAACAAATAAAAATGTGCCGTAAAACTGAAGTAACACTTTTTTTTTTGTGAAACCGCTCAATGAACTACATCTCCCGTCTCGCACCACACACCCAGACGGCCGTCACGTTGAAACATTTCACTTCTTTCTTTCAGAATGAGGCGAAAAGTATTAAAAGAGGTGAAAATCACTACAAGTCTCGGCACGTTGAGAGCTGTACATACACACAAGGGGAGTTAGTCGGTTCCGTAAGAGCCAGCATGCGGGACCGGGATTCTGGGATTTGTAGTCTTTCTAGTTGCGTATTTTTCATAGTCTTATATTTCAACAGTTTTACGACAAACTGTGATTTTTTTGACATGGAAATGATTTTTTAAGATTGACAAACATCATATGTGTAATTCGTGGCACAATTCAAACGGGATCGAAAGATACGTTTTCTCTCTCCATTGACTTCAATACATACTTTTTCCAAAATAAGGTCCCGTGGGTCGGAAGTAGATGGGCGGGACTTCTATGTTGCCTTTACCTTTTCCAAGACTAAGCAATGGCAAACAATTGGTTATGTTGTAGTAGTATTGTATCATGATCCACCATACATATGTTTAACCATTCCATCATTATAAGGAAAATAACCAATGGCTCTGTACAGATAACAAAACAAGATGTGTCTTTTTAAGAAGCATTTCAAGTCCTGTCCTCATGTCCTCATGCTCACCCAAGGCATAATTAATATCTTAGAAATAACACAACATTCAAAATTCTCTCAAGCAGTAGCAATTTCCTTTAGTTTGTTCCTTTGAATATTCCCACGTCGTTTCATTTCACGCTCACACATTTGTTCCACAGGACATTCAATACATTAGATCAATTAGTGAGACCTTAAAGAACATATCAGCTGCAGGTAGTTTGTAAGTAGCATTCTGATGTGAGTGTATGAGATGCAACAACCATACAGTCTTCATACATTCAAAGAAGTGTCACAGACAGTTCACACTGATTTTATATATTTGTGCAGTCAGTAATGTTAGAGCATTCATTTCTAGATTACAGAGAAGACAGTAAAGTGCAGCCTTTTTTGATTGTGATGGACCAACTTGTGAGCAGAAGTGTTTTCAATCAAATAGACGACTGACATGTTACTTGTTTAAAAAAAAAAAAATTTTGCTCAATGGGACGTCAATCAAAAACTTTTAAACAAACAATTGTGTTATCACCATGTTATGAACCACTTCTGCTACATGAAAAGCTGCACTTTTTACATTAGCAAATGAGATCACATGATAATTCATCCTGTAAGGGAGAGGGTGTCAGGAGGGCGGTTGAAATGATTGCGTTACATGCAGCTGGCAGAAGCACTAATGATGTCGGAGCAGCACAGTTTAGTAGTCCTCTCTACACACACACTACAGCAGGCACTTTGAATACATCCGAGAGGAAATGGTTGTTGCCAGCAGGAAAGACATGTGACTACATTTAGTAAAAACTACATTTCTTGATATTTCAGATCAAGTTAATGGTAAATGGACATTGTTTGACACGGTAATGGTACAGTCTTTTAACTTATTATTTGACTCAAACAAGTAGGAAAAATCTGCTTAATTTGAGGAATTTTGTCTTCCGTGTAAAGACAATTAGAAAAAAAGTTATCCCGAGTCAAATCAGATCATCTCCTAACAAATGTTATGATACATAAGCCCTGGCTGACTGCACTTACTGCCATTTTCACCTCCATGTATACATTACAGTCTTTGCCTAGAAATATTATCTAGTTATTTCACTCAGTGGGGTTGTATAGATACATCGATCATATACTGGAGCCTCTTATTGGCTGAGCTGCTAAGATAAATGAAAGCACTTCTTAATGACATTCAGTAGAGAATTGAAGTATCACATGAGGGCCATTTTAAGAGGATTTCCTACCCTGGCAAGATACACTTCTGTGGCAATGCACTACAATCTCGTAAGTTCTACAATTAAAAGATGGTTGAATATAAAAATATAAAGAATTTGCATGAATGTCACCTTTAATGATACTAAAACCACCCCACCAGAAAAACATTCACTGGCTTTGAGAAACTTCTTAACATTTCTCTAACGTTTGGTAGATTTTTTCCACTTGCATAAAGGACATTGTAACACTCGATAGACGACAGAATGATTATTGAGCGGGCTTTGCTTTGCAGTGCGTAGCAGGGCTGGGCCAAACAGCCGAGTGTCTGAGTGCTAAATGGACAACTTACTGTGGGTCATCTGACACACTGTGTGTGCGGCTGAATCTACAGAAGGCAGAGAACACAATCACAAATGAATACAAGTACACTCAAAAGAGACAATCAGCATTCACTCATGTGGATATCAGACACAGTGATGGGATATTTAATCGCTAGTGAGTTACATATCTGTGATCACAGCTGACAATGAGTTAGTTATGACAGATTTCATACAGAATTGTTCAGAAATGTTTCAAACAAGTGCCCCTTCTGGTTTTGTAACCAAGCACTGAGGTGTGTCAGGTTTAACTCAGATCCTTAAACCAGGCACAAGGGGGCAGTCTTAACCATAACACAGCCAGAGCAGAAGACACATCCCTGCATACCAAAACACTGCTAGCATAAGACAGATGCATATGGCAATGATCTCTGATGCAGCTGACACTTAGCTTTTAGAAACAAAAAGCACATGCAACCTCCATCAGACAGCGCACATCCTCTGTCTGTGACTACCACCGGTATGTTGGGCTGCGACCGCTAAAGGTCTTCACACATGCTTTATTTATGTAGCTGCCTCTGTGATGTTGGAGGGGTGTGAGAGTAAGCGTGGCCTGTGGTTTCTCGCCACAAGAGAACAAGGAGACTAAATTAATAGAAGCTTTGCTAAATCAGGGCCAGATACTTTTTTTATTTCTAAGATGGCTATCTGCCATTTGGTTTGTTGCAGTAAAATGATCACTCGCCATATGTTTTACAGGAAGATGAAAGCCTGTGATAAAGTGGGGTTTGCTTTAAAGATGGTATTTGAGGGATATTTATGGAATTGATTTAAATACATTTAAGCATTCAGGAACGGCCAAATCATTTTTGGATCAAATTGAGTCCATTTCTAACTCCTTTTTGGGACTCCAGAAAGATTCATGAAAAATAACATTCTCAAAAGTTTCTCTTTCTCCAAATTCCTTAATAACCAAAAATAAGCAATGCAATTAGAATAAAATCCAAATTGCTCACAGTTTCCATGCATTCTCTGTACAATAACAGTTGCTTTTTAGAAAATAATACAAGTTTGCATTCATTTGAAAGAAAGTCATGCAATCTTTCGGTAGTCATTCAGAAAGGAGCAGTGCAGTCGAGGTTGCATGCTAAGATTGAGTATTCAAAACAGTCATTTGAATACAAGATCTTTTGATTTTAAAGTTGCATATAGTAGTTTAAGTTCAACTCAGTGGAAATGATTGAAATGTAGTGTAGTTGCTGGACGGGGCTCACGTTGCAGGAAGACCGCTCTCCGACAAAGTGCTTCCTTCTTTTGGGTCGCCACTTTCGCTCAGTGCCCGTCCCTTCCGCCGGCCTGTATCGGTTGTTACCATGGCAGCGGGCACAGGAAGGAAGTGCGGGGGATTCGTGGTGTTGGGAGAGGTCAGCGTTTGGCCGACCTGTTTCTCTGCATCTGCGGCCAACGGCACACCAGCGGCTCCCTTCCTCACAGCCGCTTCCTCCGGCTCGCTCACAGGTGGATGTTTCCCCGAGGCGACGGGGCTCACTGCCGCAGATTTAGCCGCCGGAATCGTCGAATGGTGGAAGAATTCCTCCGAGCACGAGCGAGCTGGAGTACTGCAGAAAGCAAAGCAAACTAAAATGCACTGCTGCCTGGTTATCATCCTATATCATCACCAGACAGCATTCCTCTGGAGGAGCTTAAATGGAGGGGTTTTCTAAAAGACATAAATCTGAGACAATAGCATAGCATGCTCACAAATCCCTTCTCAGCAGACAAACAAATTGGAGTCAAAAAGCCAAAGTATAATTCTCTCAACACTGTTTTTCTGTCATCCCGTGATGAACAGCCACTTTCTGAGAGGCTTATTATTGGACTATAAATTCCCAGCATGCATGGCAGGGGGAGAAAGGCTATGAAAAGGCCAAGCTTCAGCCCCAGCCTGCTCAGGGTCAAGGAAGGAAGAAAGCCTCATTTCCTTACATCCTGAGGGAGGGTAGCATGTTCCCTGTGAGTGTGTGTGTGTGTGTGTGTGTGTGTGTGTGTGTGTGTGTGTGTGTGTGTGTGTGTGTGTGTGTGTGTGTACACCATAAAGTACCCGTTTGTGTTAACCTGCCGAGTTTATATTTGAAGGTGTGTGAAGTCTTACTCGTGTGTTTAAAAAAAAAAAACCTGTCAATACAACCTTTGATAGACGTCTACCAAAACAAATATGTTGATGTTATATAACCGGTTAAAACAAATGATCAACTCCTGGCAACACTGAAACACATAAATTCCAGCATCAGTTTTCTCCGAGCTACAAAATATGAGCTGTTACCAACTAAAGAAGCCAATATCAAAGCCTTTTGAAACATCCAGAAACCCCTCTTTTCCTTGGATTGCAGATAAACACATGTCAGATTTCCTTTGAGCATTAATTTCACTCCCCTGATTCGCTGACAACCAAATCAATGCCGTATCATCCCTGCCAGGAAAATCTGGAACAACTGGGGAAGTGAGGCTAACAACTGTCCAACAGGACGGTGAATGAAACGTCTGCTGGAGCAGGAAATAACAGCGGAAAGGGCAGGATTAAAAAAAAAAAAAAACACAACAGACCTAAACTGCGATTTTTCAAGACAGCAACATTGTAGTCATGCATCATAGTTGCCTTCAGCACAGGGACATATAGCAGAATTGTATATTCACAGCTCACAATAGCCTCAACTGCTGTATAAAGACCCTTTGTTTCAGATGTTAAACTCTTGCTGACTCTCTGTTATGTTGGTCTGGTAATGGTAGAGCCAAAGATGATAAGTGCTGGATGAAAACACAAGCTGTGAATTTGAAACTATTTTGTACCAAAGAAACAATCGTGATAAAAACTGTTCGTGGTGAGGCATGCAGATTACCCCAATTAACTGAGGACATTGTTTTTGGACAGAAGAGCTGCTGATGAGGTCTCTTTAGTGTTTTCAGTTGAACAAATTCCATTCACATTCACTGTGTGATGATGCAGGTGTGTGTCTCACAACTTGCACACAAAGCTGAAATTACCTGTGTGGCTACATGTCCCTATAGTACAGGTGAGCTGACCCTTCACTAAAACAAAAGCACAGCTGCAATAAGAGAGTAGCCTGCTGACTGTATTCATTTAAATCATTCCTCACATATTCAGCATTGCAGTCTTATTGAAAAACGATGCAGAAGCACCAGAGAAATCGTTTAAATATTCTTATACCACGCATACCTCTTCCTGGTCTGAACCTGGCTCCTACATTACCCACAATGCAACATGACTGGTGATAGTTCATATTGTTGTGTTATGCTCGTAGTCACTGATGTAATTTTGATCATCTAGCGTGAAGGAGAAACGAGGAGTGAGCTTCAGAGGTCTATTTAACTCACTCTTTATGACTCGACACGTTTTTTTTTTCAAATATACAAACTTAAAGTGGACCTATCATGCTATTTTTAGGCAATAGCATAGGTCTCAGATATATAAATAACATGGCTATGAAGTGTTTTGCTCAAAATACCAAACAGATCACCCATTCTAGCCACGCCTCATATCCCTCTATTTCACTTCCTGTTTTAAAAGTGCTGATTTGGGGTATAAAGCTTTAAAATAAATAAAAAAGGAGGGGGCTGAGCTCATGCGGGACCCGGTAGCTACTGTCTAAACTAAATGCTGCCGTGATGAAACGCCATATCATGGATTATCAAGGATTATTTCTGAAACAGTCTGGAGCTCAAAGGCTTTCTCTCTTGCCGGTTATACCACAAGGTGAGTTCCTTTTAATTTCCTGCTTCTTCACACACATGCTCTCCAGTACAGGTTAGCTCTGAGTGTTAGCGATGCTAATGTAAACACCGACCATATTACGTCCAAAACAGTTGGGCAACGTTTCTGATAGGGCCGTGGGTATAAAGCCAGCCTACATTTTCGATATTACGTCATATCGGACGCAAATCTGGATCAGCTCCGTTGTAGCCCCGTTTTTAGAGGTTTGGGTACGGAGGAAAAGAGAGAGGGTTTTATTTTCTGACGCTGCATGAGTTCCCTGACACACCGGGGACACATCTTTATGTATATAAGACATCAAAAAGTGCATTTTGCCTGATAGGTCCCTTTTAAGGTGTTGAACTATAACCAACACTGACTCAAGTGATCACCTCACGCAATTTATCAGACTTTACCCAGCGCCCTTTGTAGATGTAAACAGCTATTAACTATTTAAGAGACCTCTAAAAGGGACATTGATGAGAGTTCCCCTATAAGTGTAAAAATAAAAACACAAAGAAAATAAGAATTTATCTTTAGAAAATGTGAAAACCTAATTTATAATGTTAGATTCTATATGGCAGTCTATTATCTATTAGATTAAGTTGATTTAGAGCAATCAGGACTATGAATCAGAACCATGTCAACAAAGGGGAACTAGGCAGCTGATATGGGGTATTGATTAAAACAGGAATCAAGGGGAAGACCTTTGCTCAGAGGAGACCAACGGGCAAGGCACAGTGTCGATGCGGGGCTCTGCTCGGGGCGGGGGGAGGCTATAGGGCAGAGGCTCACTGCTCCTCCTCACATGGATCTCAACACGAGGGGTGGAAGCAGTCTGCTCCCCTTCATCCTCGTCCTTTTTAGTCTGCTTCACCTTCTGAATCTGTATCTGGGGGTCAAGGGTCGGGCAGGGGGACTCTACAGGTCTGTCCTCTAAACTAGGGGCTTCATTTAGACTGTTACAACACACACACACACACACACACACACACACACACACACACACACACACACACACACACACACACACCACACACACACACACACACACACACACACACACACACACACACACACACACACACACACACACACACACACACACACACACACACACACACACACACACACACACACACACACACACACACACACACACACACAAAACAGTATGGCCAAAATCAATGAAAACGTGCATTTGTACATGATGGATAAAGTTACAAGGGGAGAATGAATGACATATCATCAACTCACACTGGGTGACACACACACACACACACACACACACACACACACACACACACACACACACACACACACACACACACACACACACACACACACACACACACACACACACACACACACACCTATGGCTGCACTTAACATGCGGTTAAGACAAATGAGGAGCTTTTAATTGATTATTTTAGATCTTAAGCTACAACTACATAAATCCAAACCTCCAAATGTTTTCCTTCAAAAACGACTTTGAGTCAAAATCTGACACTCTCTACCGCTACACACAGACCACTAACACACTGATACTGAAACAGATCAAAGCACATACACTAATACACTAAACCAGCAGAAATGTGACACTTGTACAGTGAGAGCCACTGGCAATAAATGATTAAAAGAATATAAATGAAATCTCAGCACATGTCAACCAATGCATACCAATAAGACCGTCAGATTTTAATCTACTTTTTTATGTAGTAGATTTCACACTTTCACTTCAATCGGAACGAATGAAAAAGCACATCTGGCCTCCATTAGCCACTCCCATGTGAGACGTTCTCTTGCAATATCAATAAACAACACAGACTCAAAAAGATGTTGGTGGGTATTAGACTTCGTAAATAATAAACGTGCTTTTTTTCCCAACATCTACATTCTTTCTTTGTGATCAGTTATATCAATACTGTAAAGACACATTTCCCACATTCTAAAATAAATAACTTCATGGTCAACTTTCGACCATATTCAATTTCTTTGTTAGAATTTCTCACGCTAATGTGAACTCACAAAACATGAAGGAAGCATTGTCGGCTTGAAACTGCATTTTCAGCTGCAAGCAGAAATGTGTGGAATTCTCTACCAGAACATTTGTGACAACTTTTAATTAAAACATTTGTTATCTGCAGCAAATCAATTTCAAGCTATAACAAGGTAATGGTTGGATTCGTCACCAAATGATCAGTTCATTATGCAATTACACTGCCCTTGATCTCCAACTGCAGCATCCAGGAACAAACCTAATGTCAAATGCTCTGCACAACTCTTTAAATAACAAGGCCCTTATGTCAAAATCATTCTTATAGCAGAAATGCCAAGAATACTTTATCCATCAGATAAAAAAATACACTTGGTGTATATACTTACTTTATTAGACTTGACTTGTATTTAAATATCTAAAGTAACCCAAATAAATGACTGTTTATGTACACTTCTAATCACTGCAGCAGTTAGACTCACCTGAACGGTCTGTCTCCCCCTACAGGTGAGGTCGCAGTACTCCAGCTCTTGCGCGCCCCGTCCTCTTTGTCGTTCTTCTTCTTGCGGAGGGGCGTTGGCACGTATCCGCTCTGGTTGCTCTTGTTGGGCAGGTACTGGTTGAAGGGCATGGCGGTGCGCGGCTCGCTGATGGACGTCCGCCGTGTCGACATGTCGTCCTTACGCACGTCTGGCATCTTCCTGTGGGGGGGGCCGTCGGACTCTGAGTCGCTGCCGCGGCCTGTTGAGGGGAGATGGGAGGAAATATATCTGCACTCCTGATGAAGCATATATATATAAAGTGTCTGTCTGATATGATCTATTCACTTTCTGAATAATAAAATGTGTCAATTGAAAATAAAGAAAAGAGAGGGGGACAAATCAATAATTTGATTACGATTTCTAATCTCTGAATATTAATATTGCTTTATTTATCCCTAAGCCGTTAACTACATCATATTAAGGCGTGCACAACATTAAAGTGCTGTTCCAGTGTATGCAGTGCATTCCAGCGGCTCAACATAAATCACCCCCAAGCAGGTTGACTTTTATGAAACAAAGCAAGTAACATAATAATAAATCATCACAAAATGTATAATGTACAGCTCCTGCTCACAACATTCTAGCCTACAGTTGGGAAGGATTCTATTTGTCTGTCTGCATCCCATTTGAAACATATTGTTAGGGCTTTTAATATCAGCGGCAACACCTGGAGCTGCACAAGTGCACCGCTCAAGGACTTTCCCTACCAATGAGTCTTAAATTCCTCTGCAGATGTTCATGTGTGATCTTCTGAGTACAGACAGCACAGAGTAATGAGGACAAATCCCATAGCCAACAGCATACATGGGAATACGTCATTAGGGCGCATTTCACAAATGTTAACCCCATTTCAAAAACTACAAATAGATACCTGCAGCCTTGCTTACCCAATCTCTCTCTAAATTCCTCTCCAAGATGCTCAGCACATGTACTACTGGAATCCCCCTCCCTTTGGATGCATGCAAACTCAACATATGACCTCCTGAATTTCTATATATTTTCCATGCATCAACCCACAATTTATAGCAGATCTAAACCGTAAAATCTTCCCTTAGTTCTGAAGAGATACATGTGGATGCAGCTGCAGCTCTAGGTGGAAACAAACGTGACATTTTACACTTGTAAAAAGCTCCCTTTCTATCAATAGACTTATTCATTTTTATGTGGTTCTAAAAGATTGACAGATCAAGGTCCAAAAGAGGCCTTGGGGTATCTGCACTTTCAACAATAAGCGGTTCAATCATGACTCTTAGCCCATCAATTGGAAACATGAGTGACTCTACCATCCAAGTCAATCCGTCCTTAAGGAACAACACATGTCTTTAGGGAGTGATCTGCTTTCTCTGCACATCTGGTAACACTGAAGCTTGAGGGAACGTTTTTCATGGGTCAGTGCCATACTGTACCAGAGACTCACAGAAACCTATTTACATCAACAATCACCAACATGCAGTAATACTACAGGAAGTGTAAAAGCCACAGAGTCCACTTCAATATCCACTGCAGTGACTAGAAGGCTGTAACATTAGAGGAGGAGTGATAGTGATACTCTTAACATCTTAAACGACAACAATTTCTCTGTGCAAGCATTCACGCTTTTTCAAATTTCTCTCATTATGCGACATAGATTTTTCCCGGCAGAATGTACAGCAAAAGTATGGAAGAGTTTAAAAATAGTGAGTGATCTTGGACGGATGTTGTCTATACTGAGTCAACAAAGACATTGGTTCTCTAGCCGGTTACATTTAGAATATTGTATCCAAATGGCTCTGATGGTAATCAATCTTTTATCCCTGCTCTACATGTTTCCCAGCCAAAAAAGGATTCGAGTCTATAACATTTGGATTGGAAACCATATTCAATGTACTATTCCCCAACCTTAAAGGTGGGGTAGGTAATTCACTTCAGAAACACGTGTTATATTCCATGGAATGCTCTTAACATCCCGATAGCAATGAATACATGAAATGCTTTGACAATAAATACATAATAAAATGTCATCTCTGGAAGCCATGGCGCTGTAAAAAGCACGACCAATCATCTGAGCCGGCCCGGCTAAAGTAACTGGATGGCCTACCTGCCTGTCAGCCTTCCATCTGTGCACAAACTTATCTCGTGCCCTCATTGGTCATGTGGCGTTCGTGTGTGTTGGAGGAGGGGCTCTATAAGGAAGTCTGAAGGAAGAGGCAGATTTTTTCCGGTTGTGTATTTTCAAATTCTAGCGCACTCGAGCTGGTTTCTCCATCCTTACCTACCCTACCTTTAGCAGACACCTTATAATTATTTGTAAAGAAAAATTGAAAATGAAAGCAAGAAAAAGCCCAACAGAGGAATTGTCAAATTCACGTTGAGCTTCAAGAAACAATATTTAAATGTTAATTGTTATTCGGTGCATGTGCATTTTAAACCTTGCTGTGAATTCATCTTATCGTTGGCTGTGAGTCCCGAGGCATGTGATGTGAGGGCAGAAGTATGAGAACATTTTGCAGAATGTGGGCAGGACTTTAGAAAAACCCTGAAAAGCATAACTCTGTTTATTGTTTCAAGCGGTCTTTTACTAGTGATGGGTGTTGCCCTCCAACAATTGTACAAGAGGAGGACAGGTTGTACTACAGCAGCACCAGAAGCAAAAAGTGTCTCGCCCACCGACGCTGTATCCATCTACTGTAACTAAAGAGCATCTGCAATATGGAATCTCTTTCAGGGATCGAACTCTTCTCCTTGTCCCCTAATTACTGTCAGAGTGAAGTCACTTTACAGAGCTGAATAGTGAAAGGGCTTTGTCTGAAAAAGGTCAGAGCAGGAAAAAAGTTGAGTTTGTGTGCACGTTCATAAATGGACGCTCTTGTTCTGGGAGTACTTGGAGTACCCTGGGATGGGATGATTACTGCATTGTTGTCCCGTTCTCACTTCTCCAGTGTGTGCCTCCTGGCTCTGATCAGATCACTATGAAACCCCTCAATAACAGCATGGGCCTGAAAATATGGATCTTGACATACTAACCTCTCCATAACCTATTCCCATATAGTACCACAAAGACCTTCTGACAGCAGATATGAAAAAGCCTGAAGGAAATTCCAACTTCAGAATGTCTGTGGTGTTCAAAGCATTTCAGAAGTCACTTAAATATACGCTGTCATTCAGTTATTTTAGGTAAGCCTTGCCACGCCTTTATATTTCTAATTTTCTGAATTACAGATCACGGACGTATAACAATACGAGAGAGGCACACTTCAACTTCCAGAAGGTTTTTAGTTAGACTGCTCGTGACAGAAACTAAGACTTTGGAGCTTCCCTCCAAACAAAAACAGTCTGACAGGAAGCTCTGCCTCACTCTGTTTTTTTCCCACAGTTCAGAGATGAAACGTACTTTAAGCTTTGTGACGACTTCTGTAAAATGTTATAGGCTGTCATTACAATTTAAAAAGGGTCAAATTCAAATAAAGCGTCGCAATGAAAAGCTTTCTATGACAGCATATGGTCGGCTTGGCATTTTAAATGCAGCCAAAATCTATTTTTGACTCCATTTTTGATTTCAGCAGAAAGCACAAAACTAATTGCCGGCTGTTTGCAGTTCCTGCATGTCTTGGCTCAACTTATTATGGGAAATTGAGAGGCTCCAATTTTGAATGCATTTAATTAGATAAGCCAATATCGTTATACAAGCAACACACACTTCTATAGACACTGTATAACAATGTGCACCTGGGTGCAGATCTCCTATCCTTATGGACAATGCATTGAGGCAGACATCTGTCATTTAAAGCAATGTCCCCACAGCCTCTAACAGTCAAGATAAAGAGGTGTAATAAGGCAACATATTTCCAAGATGAGGAACTATCCCTATATGGAATGTGTCAGTGAAGTGTCAGATCAAAAAAAGAGCAATAGATCCTGAAAACACATTTCTTTGCCTCACTATTATACTCGCATGATTCACCTCTTCCTCTCACTCGTGTCATAAACACTATGAGGCTGCACGGCTGGACACGCACCATGGCGGAGGCATTCATTCGCATTCGCGCACACACACAATTACTGTTCAATGGAAGAAAAGTACAGGTGTGGTAGGCAGGTCGCTTCTTAAAGTAAAAAAAACTAAAAGCATCTAAAGATCAGTTCCTCTTATCAACATCCATCCATCTTCTCCCGCTTATCCGTGGTCGGGTCGCGGGGGTATCAGTTCCAGCAGAGAGCCCCAAACTTTCCTTTCCCTGGCGACATCAACCAGCTCTGACTGGGGGATCCCAAGGCGCTCCCAGGCCAGCGAAGGGATATAGGCCTAATCCCTCCACCTGGTCCTAGGTCTACCCCTTGGTCTCTTCCCAGATGGACGTGCCTGGAACACCTCCCTAGGGAGGCGCCTAGGTGGCATCCTAACTAGGTGCCCGAACCACCTCAACTGGCTCCTTTCGACGCGAAGGAGGAGCGGCTCAACTCCGAGTCCCTCCCGGATGACTGAACTTCTCACCTTATCCCTAAGGGAGACACCAGCCACCCTGCGGAGAAAACCCATCTCGGCCGCTTGTATCCGTTATCAACACTCCCAAATGTATTGTTCAGTTTTAATAGTACTGTATTTGATGCTCAAACTAAACTTAAAGCACATTAAATTCATTCGTCTCAAGGACACAAACCTCTCGCCACTTTTATTTTCTCAACTACATAAAATGTTTAAGTGAAAAGTGTTTCCCTGAGGGCAATTTGATTAAATGTCTTCTGTTTTGCGTCACCTGACAACTGTCATGTTGGCAGTGTTAACATTACATAACTGAAATGTGTTTGAAACCAAAACAGATGTCACAGCAGCGAGGCCCATGCATGTTTTTTCCATCGCAGATTGACATTAGATATGTGTGATTGGAAAACTGATAGCTACTGACACACAGAGAAAAAATGAAGATTCATGGTGAGCATGTCGCTTTTTCTGGATTAATTCAATGGTAACTGACAACATAAAAATAAAAAACAGCAGCTCTTGTACTAAATGTCCTCCCTTTCACAAGACATATAGCTGAATGAAACAATGGCCATAGCTTAGCTTTCAAACAGGCTTTGCACTGAGATCATTCCCTTTATTATCTCAAATAGCCTTTGACTAGCACTGGGTGTAGTCCTGCGAAAACACAGCGAGGAAAACAACATGCTTTATTACAACACCACTGCAAGGACAATGCACCTCATTTATCTATATACTATATCAGAACACAACAATTCACCCAAACAAAGCAGCCAGTACTGAATCAGAAGGGAAGGGGGCGGAATGGGGCAGGGGCGGAATGGGGCAGGGGCGGAATGGGGCAGGGGCGGAATGGGGCAGGGGCGGAATGGGAAAGGGGCGGAATGGGGCAGGGGCGGAATGGGAAAGGGGCGAAATGGGCAAGGGGCAAAATGGGAATGAACCCTTTTTTTCCCCTACCATCGCTGCTGCCGCGGGGGACCAGGACATCCGGCGACGGGGTCTGTCGTGAGCGTGAGCCGAAGGAGTCCAGACTGTCGAAGGAGTCCTCGCGGCCGTGGCGGGGCGGGGAGAGGGAGTCGCTGCGCTCAGAGTCCCAGCAGTCGATGTAGCCGCTGTCCCGGATGCTGCGTATCGGGCTCTCTGCCTCCTCCGCCTCCTGAACATTTAGAAACATGCCCATGTTATACAAATGCACAAATTAGCTTACAAAACATTCATAGAAATAAAGGTAAACAACATTTTTTGCAAAGTACATTGAGTAACTTCTGCTGTGGGAGGAGATTTTAGTTTTCACCTGCTCAAACAACATCTGAAGAATTAGTTTGTGTCCCAAATATCTCATATCACTAAGTCCTAGATCAACTTTGTTTTTGTCCCTCTTCCTCTTTGTTCGGCTGAGATCCCTCTCTATCACTCTCTCTCCACCTCAGTGACCTCTCCCTTTGTCTGTCTACACTTGAAACATGTCTATGCAGCTAATGAAAGGTGGGGAAAGGTCTTTCCTGTCTACCAAAAGACTTCCTGTTCCTGAACCCTGGAACGTTGGTTATGCAACTCCCAAACCTCTTTCAGACTCCATGTTATGTTTTCAGCTCAGCTGTGCTGACGCAGAATTTTGTCTCACTTATCTCTTTGTTAAACACACATTCAACTTTCTTTCATGTAGCAATGCCATTGTTCAGTAAAGCTGCATAGAAAACACTGATCAAGGTTCATTAGCCCATCAATAGCCCATCTTTATGCAAATTGTTGCATATGCCTATAACCTGTCCGGCAGTGGCTCAGTCAGTAGGGGCTTGGACTGGGAGCTGTAGGGTCGTCGGTTCAAGTCCCCGACCAGACCTAAATATGGAGTGTGGACTGCTACTTGGAGAGGTCCCAGTTCACCTCCTGCCCTGCCGTGGTGCCCTTGAGCAAGGCACCGGACACCCCCCCCCCCCCTCACTCCCATTGCTCCCCGGGCGCTGTGCAATAGCTGCCCACTGCTCCTAGTGCTAGACTCCTGGTGCTAGGATGGGTTAAAAGCAGAGAACACATTTCACTGTGTGTGCTCTGCATGTGAGACCATTAAAGAGCAGTGATTCCCGCAGAAATGAAATATACTTTGGGGGACCGACTCGGGGTGGGGTGCGTGAAAAAAAATCTCCTCAAAAATGTAGGAGCGGGGCTAGTCCTGGTGGGCTACCCAGGCTGAGTGACAAGGTGGCATCCAGGAAACTGAAATTTGCAGGTCACTGCCATCGACACCAGGAACTTCCAGCTGGCAAGTTAGTACTCTGGGAGCCAACACACGGGCACCGACCAAGGGGGCGCCCCATTAACCCCCATATTAACATGCTGTGGGAATCACTGAAGAGGGTTTCATCTCTATTCTATTCTAACCTAAATAATGCTATTAAAGGTTTGTTTACTCAAATTCATTTAAAAAAGCAGATAACCACTTGAATAAATGGAGCAGAGAAAAGTGCAGCTGGTTCCACAATTCACCTGCTTCTTGCATTAATAATCATTTTCTTTTTTAAATGAAAAGGTCTAGTTTCCATTGCATAAGTATAAGTTATAACGCAGTCCGTTTATAATGTGTGAACCTGATGAGTTTTCCTTGATTTTCAGATCTCATTTTATTATTAATCTCTTTTTGGTTTCATAGAAACGTGGCTTTGGTTTGGTCAGTAGCAACATCTGGGGAAGTTATTCTGCTGAGTTGGCAGAGATGTCTCAGTTTTAACAGCAAACGTCATATTGTGGAAAAAATGGTACGGGGTGACATCATGGTTATGAGCGGGTGTCGTAGTGTGTCCGTATGTGCGTTTTTGGATCTTATTAAAAGACCTTTGGGTCAGTAAAGGAGTGGAAGCAGATTGAGATAACTCACACAAGAGCCATGACAGAGGTCATCCCTAGACCATGGGTGGGGGGTGTTTTAAACTCCCTGAGATGATTTCTTAGAAATATATTTTCCATTTAGAAAACACACTATCATTTAATGCAACCTAAAAGGAGTTGTCCAGTATAATTTGTGCGATTGGTCGGGACATTAGGTCTGAATTTCTGAAGCACAGCCTCTCTTTACTTATACCAGCTACAGTTGCTAGGAGATTTTTAATCCACCACCAGCATCAACGAGTGACTGAATGATACCTGTAGTTTATATTCAGATGTTCAGGACATTGTTGAGGCTAAAAATGACTAAACATGACTGAGCAAACCTTTCGCATCTGTGACAGCAGGCCGTCAAACTCTTTCAGGTCCAGCGTGGGACCGTTGTAGGAGGTACAGCCGTTGGCAGCACGACCCAACCAGTAGATGGTGATCAGAACCTACAAAGAACAAAAACATGCAGATATCATAGTGAGGTACTCTGTGAAGAAAACAATGTGCAAAGCATTCTATGCTACTGAAATCATGACCCGTCAGATGTTATCTTATGCATGAAAGAGAGATAGAAATGTTTAAGCCCATGATCCAGTGATCCTGAGGACAGTTCCTCAGTGCAGGCTCAAGTCTTCATAATGATATAATGGAGTTATTTAAAGTGAATATAGCGAGTTGGTTGGAAGCTTGAGATAGCTGTTCCAATCCAAACCAATGAGTGCCACACAATAAATTAAATTGCATAAAATGTGGTTATTTTTGAAATATATTGTGTAAAACAATCAAGTGGACGTTCAGTCCGTGCTCTAGCAATTTAGGATAACATGTAACATTTGTTCCAGTCTTCTTAATGTCATATGTAACAATGCAGGATGTCTGGTAATTTTAATCCATTTCATTCCAAAGATGTTACATGTTAGCTAACCTGCACAAACATGACAAGACTGAGCCATTGTTCTGACACTGAAACGAGTCCCAAGCACATTTCCTCCACGAGTCACAGTGATTCATATTAGCATGTTAGCTTCCTTAGCCCTGAGTGCAAACACTTCCAGGTCAATCTCACCTCCTTCCAACACAGAAACCCTGTAAACTCAGATCTGAAGGAGGCTGCAGTTCCTTTGCTCTGACTCTTTCTTGTAAGCTAAAGTAATGCTAAATGTGAACCTTGTTGCATTCAGTGTAACACTCTTTGGAGTCAGCTGAAACACTTAAATGCAGAATGTACAGATTCGCTGTGCCCACAGGGAGATCACACAGCGCTGCACCTTTAGCACCCAGCTATATTTACTGTGTCCATGTCAACCGGCACTCCACAGGGATTGCTTTGATAGGGGAACTCAGCATGGCACACTGTCAATGTAAAAACTCTGTGCCGCCATTCAAACAGTCTTGGAAGAAGAGTAAATGAGCTGGCCTGCTGCTCAGAAGAAGAAAAACACATTTTCTGTGTGATTATGTAATGTTTCCTGAAGGGAAATGCATTGTTTTAACTACAGAATGAGCCATACTAGTAGGGATGAGGCTATAGAAAAATGACTGCTGATTGTGGAGTGTATTGCAGTCTTTCGCGATGCGTTTATTACGCATGTTGTCATCGCAATAACGATAAAATAAACAACATATTGTAAAGCTCTAAGCCTCGGTATTGCATAACTGAGTTGTTTTGTGGGCTTCGCATGTCTTTGTTTAGTGGAGCGGGGAGCTTGTTTGAGCAAAGAGCATCAAAACAAATGCATAATTAACAGCTTAGGAGAGCAGAGAGATCAGTACAGGCAGACACTCAAGGCTGATGTCAAAGTGGTATTGAAATCAAAACTCAAAATATGGTTAGTGAGGAATCAGCTCTGCCAACACTGACCCAATCTTCTGCTCCTTACAACCCGCTGCCTGTGTTTTAACATGTTCTTTTGTTTTAATGTTCTGTATTTTAAATTGTTTTATTTAAGTATCCCAGTAATGTCTGTTGCATGTTTTAAATGTATTGTATTTACTTGTTTAAAATGAAATGTGTTTTAGGTTGACTTTTAAAATCTGTCCAGGGACTACAGATGAAAAATAGCCTCTTGGCTAACTCTGGCACGTTTACAGAAATGTTCATTAATGTGCACTGTCCCTGTTAAATAAATGAATAAAAAAATAAATAAACACCCCTAAGATACAGGAGGGAGAGGTTTAATGCTTTATCACTTCAAAATCAGGGACACCAGATCACAGGGAATCAGACCAAAACCATTTCCAAAGTAGATCTAAACTACATAGCATTCTGCTTATATGAATTACATGCAGATCATATTTTATCTTGCTACCACACAGTAGAAGAAAACCACTCATCTACAAGAACTGTGCTCAAGCAACACTTTCTCTCTCTCTCTCTTATTTTATTGCATCTTTGTCACCACGAGTATAATGATAATATCTGTGCCAGCTCCCATAAAAGTAGGTCGGCTCCAGAGGTATTTCAGCCACAGACCAGTATGCTTCAAATTGATCCACAATGATCCCAATAGCATAAACTGAACGGAAATATGCCACCACTGCCCTGCATGATTTAAACAAGCAACACTTAACCTAGACTCACTCCCCCAAGAACTCCGTGAGTCTGAGTCCCTCACCCTGTTCCAGTCCCGCCTCAAAACCCACCTTTTCAACTCTTTATCTATAAAGCCCCCCCCCTCTTAATCAACTTCCTCCTGACTGCTTTTCTGTTATGTTTTTTTGTTTTGTTTGTTTTTTTGTTTTGTTTTGTTTGTATACCCCCCCTCCCAAATGTAAAGCGTCTTTGGGTCCAGAAAAGCGCTATATAAAATTAATATATTATTATTATTATTAAAACAAACAACTGTACCAAAACCAACACTTGGATACAAGCACTAAGATGCAATAGTTCAAAGAAAACACGTCAGGGGAGTTTGAATGATAGACAATTGTGAATAGGGCCTGACAGTGAGGTCATGCACACATCACACTCTTCAGTTTCAACAGTCTCACCTGGCAGATGTGGAAAAACCTGTCAAAGAGGTTGTCGAAAAAACAACAATCCCCTCTTTGTTTCATGTGCACACACGCATTGGTGATGCATCCTGACATCCTCGTGGATTCATCTTCTTATTACAGACACATGCATTTCCTAACATTCGGTCTATATGCTGTAAAATGTATTATCTCTTCGATTTACACACGGCATCTATTGCACGTCTGTCCGTCCTGGGAGAGGGATCCCTCCTCTGTTGCTCTCCCTGAGGTTTCTCCCATGTTCCCTTTAAACTGTGGGTTTTCTCTGGAAGTGTTTCCTTGTACGATGTGAGGGTCTAAGGACAGAGGGTCTAAGGACAGAGGGTGTCGTTTTTCTCATACTGATATTCTGAACAATCTGTGCTGTTGTATTTGCTGTAAAGTGTCTCTACTGTAGGCTATTTTTATTTTATGTACAGCACTTTGGCTCGACCAAACATCGTTTATAAATGTGCTATATAAATAAAACTTGATTTGATGCATACACAAGGGCATGACATAACCTCAAATGCACCTTCAATGTAAACACAAACACACAAGTGCATGCATGCTGCAATCCACAGACCTGTGTACATACATACTCCAAACTAGTCATCAAACACATGCACTACCAGCACTTTCTTGTTCACACCTGCACTGCTACACAGTCATCTTGTGACTTCAGCAATATTTCACGCATCCATGCAAATGCTCTATTTTTACTTTGTCCAATCTGCTAAACAACACCTTCATCGCTAAATCAGCATATTGTTCTGAATGCAGGTCCTTCACCTCTCAATATGTGACGTGCTGCAGTGCCAGCTGCTATGTCCTCAGTGTGAGATCCATAGTGTGTGAGCGGGTCGTGGCTGAAGCCTGCAGCTGCTGGGAGTTTGTGGGCCGTTTGCTATCGCTGCTAATGTGGCTGAGAGTCCCTGTGTGTCGTCAGCTAAATGAGCTAGCAGGCCGGCTCTGCAGCTCCACACATTAACTGTACAGTCAGTGCACAGCAGCATCACAGAGGGGGGGGGAGGAGGGGGGAGAAAATAGCTTTGACTGCAGAGTGGGCAGGGCTAGAAGTATATGTGTTCTACTTAAAGCAGCATTATGAGAAGGGACAAGATTGTGTTTGAAGTACATTTGAACATAAAAACACTTGGAGCATAACAAGTGATGATTAGAAGGAAGATGGAACAACAGAGAGAAAGATATACTGAACAAAAATATAAATGCAACACTTTTGTTTTTGCTCCCATTTTTCAAATCTGTGATAGTGAGCACTTCTCCTTTGCCGAGATAATCCATCCCACCTCACAGGTGTGGCATATCAAGATGCTGATTAGACAGCATGATTATTGCACAGGTGTGCCTTAGGCTGGCCACAATAAAAGGCCACTCTGAAACGTTCAGTTTTATCACACAGCACAATGCCACAGATGTCGCAAGTTTTGAGGGAGCGTGCAATTGGCATGCTGACAGCAGGAATGTCCACCAGAGCTGTTGCCCGTGAATTGAATGTTCATTTCTCTACCATAAGCCGTCTCTGAAGGCGTTTCAGAGAATTTGGCAGTACATCCAACCGGCCTCACAACTGCAGACCACGTGTAACCACACCAGCCCAGGACCTCCACATCCAGCATGTTCACCTCCAAGATCGTCTGAGACCAGCCACTCGGACAGCTGCTGCAACAATCGGTTTGCATAACCAAAGAATTTCTGCACAAACTGTCAGAAACCGTCTCAGGGAAGCTCATCTGCATGCTCGTCGTCCTCATCGGGGTCTCGACCTGACTCCGGTTCGTCGTCGTAACCGACTTGAGTGGGCAAATGCTCACATTCGATGGCGTCTGGCACGTTGGAGAGGTGTTCTCTTCACGGATGAATCCCGGTTTTCACTGTTCGGGGCAGATGGCAGACAGCGTGTGTGGCGTCGTGTGGGTGAGCGGTTTTCTGATGTTGTGAATCGAGTGGCCCATGGTGGTGGTGGGGTTATGGTATGGGCAGGCGTATGTTATGGACGACGAACACAGGTGCATTTTATTGATGGCATTGTGAATGCACAGATACCGTGACGAGATCCTGAGGCCCATTGTTGTGCCATTCATCCACGACCATCACCTCATGTTGCAGCATGATAATGCACGGCCCCATGTTGCAAGGATCTGTACACAATTCCTGGAGGCTGAAAACATCCCAGTTCTTGCATGGCCAGCATACTCACCGGACATGTCACCCATTGAGCATGTTTGGGATGCTCTGGATCGGCGTATACGACAGCGTGTTCCAGTTCCTGCCAATATCCAGCAACTTGGCACAGCCATTGAAGAGGAGTGGACCAACATTCCACAGGCCACAATCAACAACCTGATCAACTCTATGCAAAGGAGATGTGTTGCACTGCGTGAGGCAAATGGTGGTCACACCAGATACTGACTGGTTTTCGGACCCCCCCAGACCCCCCCAATAAAGCAAAACTGCACGTTTCAGAGTGGCCTTTTATTGTGGCCAGCCTAAGGCACACCTGTGCAATAATCATGCTGTCTAATCAGCATCTTGATATTCCACACCTGTGAGGTGGGATGGATTATCTCGGCAAAGGAGAAGTGCTCACTATCACAGATTCTTTCAGATTTGTGAACAATATTTGAGAGAAATGGTTATTTTGTGTATCTAGAAAATGTTTTAGATCTTTGAGTTCATCTCATGAAAAATGGGAGCAAAAACAAAAGTGTTGCGTTTATATTTTTGTTCAGTGTATATTAAAGAGAGAGAAAAATAACTAACCTGGATCCAATTCACAAAAAATAAAGCTGTTTTAAAATACGTAAAGACACACAATAAAGTAAATAATGGGTACATCTGAAGTTCTGGAGTACGTAGAGTAAGAACAAACAGAAATGATAGACACAGATCAAAAGGATGGACAACCAACTAAAAGTTAGAATAGATGGAAAGTAAAGTAAAACAGAAAGAACAGATACAAGTAGAAAAGCTTTATACGGTTAAGTGAGACTAGCACACTAAGAACAGGACATACAAGATACACTACTACATGGAGTTGACTCTAAAGTGAGCATAACTGGAACTGACATGATAAAAGCAGAGTGACAACCGCAGCACAAACAGAAACACTGGACCATAATAACAGTTTACAACCAAACGTACATTTAGCACACAAACAAAGGATCCCGCTATAATGCAGAAGTATCACTTACATTCTTGAGTTTTCGGCTGCAGTCACTTCCCCTGGGAGATAGAGAAAGAGACGGAGTGAGACGCGAGAGCAACTTTGAATATTTACTGAAATATCTTGCATAAATATAACAGCAGACCGCTTTTAAAGCAACCAAACTCCCACATCATGTGCAAACAGTAGCAAAACCATTGAATAAACAGCATGGAGGAATCTGCAGTCACACACTGCAAGACTCCACACTTGCATCTCTGGATCCAGCTTGTTGTTTGGTGCTGTATTTATTTGATATTTCCAGCAGTATTAGTCACTGGCTGCCGTTTTGACTTCAGCTAACGGTGTATGAAGGCAAGGGCTCCCTTAGATCGAACATTTTGCAGCAGTGGTCATCATTCCAAAAGACAAATGATTCTGCGACGGCACGTCTGGGGAGATGGATGTCAGAGTGGCGGCCACATGTTTTGACTGCCAAGTGAACTCTGGGAGTTGCAGAGCAGAAACGCCACAGCAGTGGACACTTAGCGCCATGGATGCTGCCAACATGAAAAGATGTGGATGACCACTTGAAGCTATAAATGGGAAGAGGAATGAAGCAGTTGTAAAACAGACCCTGATACACACTAGTGTCGTGGAAACAGACTTCTATCTAGACTAAGATAGGGAGACACATCAGCAGAGATATATATTCAGACATTGAAACTGTTACAACACACAAAATAAAGTAAATTACATTCTGTGTTTAATATGCCCAGGCCAATGTCACTTTTACAGGAGAAAAATACATTCCTAGAAGTGATAATGGTTTAAAAAGGAGCCAGGGGTTGGGGGGGGGGGGGGGATTGTTTCTCTTCCTGGTGCTAGTTGCAGCTTTCTGCAGGATTTGGTCAGATGGAAAATATGTTGGTTTTAACGCTTCCCTCATTAGCCAACAAATCATTTTTTCGGATATGTCGAATTGCTTCAATAGTAGACCAACTTGTATAGGAAACATCCTTTCTATGGAGCTTATTGCTATGTATGGGTGAAGGGTTGCTTGAATGGAATATTGATCTCATTATAGGGACAATAAATCATATTTTAGAGTAAACATGTTATCTTTTATACTTAAGTAAGCAGTAAGTAACACGCCTCCTAACAGAGCTGAATTGACCAATGAACTTGTTTGACCGTTAGTACACATGACACCATTGATCAAGATTTAAGAGCTACGTATACGATTACCCTCACCTATGGTCATGAAGGATGGGTCATGACCGAAAGAACGAGATCGCGGATACAAGCGGTCGAGATGGGTTTTCTCCGCAGGGTGGCTGGCGTCTCCCTTAGGGATAAGGTGAGAAGTTCGGTCATCAGGGAGGGACTCGGAGTTGAACCGCTCCTCCTTCGCGTCGAAAGGAGCCAGTTGAGGTGGTTCGGGCACCTAGTTAGGATGCCACCTGGGCGCCTCCCTAGGGAGGTGTTCCAGGCACGTCCAGCTGGGAAGAGACCAAGGGGTAGACCTAGGACCAGGTGGAGGGATTATATCTCTTCGCTGGCCTGGGAGCGCCTTGGGATCCCCCAGTCAGAGCTGGTTGATGTCGCCAGGGAAAAGAAAGTTTGGGGCTCTCTGCTGGAACTGCTACCCCCGCGACCCGACCACGGATAAGCGGGAGAAGATGGATGGATGGTATACGATTACCCATAACACCCTTCTCTGTGTAGACGATACTGTGTATATTGCTTTGTAGCTTCAGGGGATCCTCGTTAACACACACACATATCTTTGAAAATAAATGATCTTATGAGGATACAAAGTAAAAGAAGGATGTCGTGCATCTCCTCGTATGGAACCTGTATGGCCCGGTATGAAAAACAAAACAGATCTTTAACTATAAAGCCGATTTCGTTACGTGATTGCATAATATTGTTGTCAAAGACAAAAGACACAACAGCAGCAACCGTGAAATGTAAGACGCATTCATACAAAGGAGAAAATAATGAGCAAGTGTTTTTTTGCCTGAGTTTTGAATTCATAGTACATTATGACACTGCTGATAACTAGTTTCCAAGGCCTGAGGGTCACAACGCTTACATCTCTCAACACATAAGTGACACCTAAATTGCAGTTGCATGGGTTTTCCATGACCTGAGAAAGAGAGGGTTGAAAGAGGTGGAGGGGAGCAAGGTGAAAGTAGCTGGAGGGAAGGATCTGTAAACTCTTTCTGTCAGCCGACTAAACAAACAGGTTGCTTTTCTCTGCGTTACCTTGTAGAAAGAAGGACAGATTCCACAAGGTATTAGATCATCATATTATACTCTTTCCTTTTTTCTGTCTCTCTCTTTGTCTCTGAGTCAGTTTCCATGATTTCATTCCAACGGTATGATTGATAACAGAATAATAAAATGTCTAAGATGTACAGTTTCAAAACCACTTTGTTATCAGCACAATAGAGAGGCGACGTCCCTCCCTTTCCGGGGGACCTGGGACCTTATTTCGGAAAAATTATGTATTGAAGTCAATGGGGAGAGAAAGATTATCTTTCGATCCCGTTTGAATTGTGCCACGAATTACACATATGATGTTTGTCAATCTAAAAGATAATTTTGCAAGTCAAAAAAATAAAAATGTGTCGTAAAAATGTGAAGTAACACTTTTTTTGTGTGAAACCGCTCAATGAACTACATCTCCCGTCTCGCACCAACACCAAGACGGCCGTCACGTTGAAACATTTCACTTCTTCTTTCAGAATGAGGCGTATTAAAGGTGGGGTAGGTCATTTTGGAGAAACCAGCTCCAGTGCGCTAGAATTTGAAAATACACAGCCGGAAGAAATCTGCCACTTCCTTACAGAGCCCCTCCTCCAACACACACGAACGCGCACACGACCAATGAGGGCACGAGATAAGTTTGTGCACAGATGGAAGGCTGACAGGCAGGTAGGCCATCCAGTTACTTTAGCCGGGCCGGCTCAGATGATTGGTCGTGCATTTTACAGCGCCACGGCTTCCACAGATGACATTTTTTATGGATTTATTGTCAAAGCATTTAATATATTCATTGCTATCGGGATGTTAAGAGCATTCCATGGAATACAACAAAAAGTGTATCTCGAGCCGGTTTCTCAAACTTACCTACCCCACCTTTAAACGAGGTGAAAATGCTAGCATGCGGGATTCTGGGATTTGTAGTCTTTCCAGTTGCGTATTTTTCATAGTCTTATATTTCAACAGTTTTACGACAAACTGTGACTTTTTTTACATGGAAATGATTTTTTAAGATTGACAAACATCATATGTGTAATTTGTGGCACAATTCAAACGGGATCGAAAGATAATCTTTCTCTCTCCATTGACTTCAATACATCATTTTTACGAAATAAGGTCCCATGGGTCGTAAGTAGATTAAGTAAGTAGACTTCGCCTCGCTATGATTTTGGAGAAACATAGAAAACATATGGATTATTTTCTAAATCTGTTTTAATGAACTCATCTTAACAACTATAAGTATTTGATATTTTATGTAAGTTAAGGGTCTAAACAGGAAAATATTATGACAATTAAACAAGGAAACTGTGTACATTTAGAAAAGATTGCAATAATTGATAACACTTTTACACAATAAATGGAGAGATTTTTATGAAGAAAGAAGATTTATATTTAGCTGAAGATGAATGAAATCCTGGAGGGCGTGTTTTCGTGAATTCCTGATTTGCCTGATTTGTTCTACCAAACTGACAGAATATATATATATATATTTCGTAGTATTTCAAAAGATTGCGTAACATCGGTTGGACAGCTGAATGGAAACACAGCTTCTCTCTCCTCTCCTATCGTGGACTGCCTGGCAAAAGGTCACTTATCTTGGAAATAGATCTGCTTCACACGGAGGAAGAGGAGATATTTCAGGCCTGAGCTCATAGTGTATCATAACCTGTCCGTCTTTACGCCACGCTGTCAAACGCCGTTTCCTAGATGAGTAAACACCTGTCCAGAAACTCAGGGTGAGAAGCACCGTAACTGCTTCTTGTCATGTGTACAAGCTGCAGGAACATAGCATCCTGTACGACAGAGGGTTACATAACAACTGGAAACAGCTTAGGACCTGTAAAACAATGACTCTGTACTAACTATAGACTACCCAAATGTTCCTGATGAGAGAGAGAGAGAGAGACAGACGATTCATTTAAGCCAGTGGTTCTCAAGTGGGGGGTGCAGAGGCATGACCGGGGGGGCGCGAGAGACCAGGAGGAAAAATAGTTATTACAATTTTTTTTATTTTTTTAAATATCATATTTTGAACAATTATTGATTCGAAAATAATATGATACAGTACAGTACTATTACGTCTGGGTCTCTGTGTTTCATTAAAGCTCGGCTCTGTGTGTGTGTGTGTGTGTGGAACGAGCTATTTTGTGTGCGTGCACGAGCGAGAGAGAGAGAGAGAGAGAGAGAGAGAGGAGAGGAGAGAGAGAGAGAGATAGAGAGAGAGAAGAGAGATAGAGAGAGAGAGAGAGAGAGAGAGAGAGAGAGAGAGAGAGAGAGAGAGAGAGCGCACCGGTACCGGAGATCGTTGTTGTTAGCTTCTGGTGCTAGCGAGCTACGCTAACGGATATAAGGAGTTTTTTTAACAACAAAGTGGAGGAGAGCCCTCTCCTGTCAGACTGAGAGGCTCAGTGAGCTAAAGGACTCTCTCAGTGTTATCTCAGTGGGTCTCAAACGTTTTGGTCACCATTAATGTAAACAATTATTTCCGAGGCACACGTTTATATGATCATTATAGTTATACAAAAATAGAATAAATGAAAAACAGGTATGAAATACTATATGACAGTAAAAAAAGAATAAAGTTTAAAAGGGAGTAATTTGTAAAATATCCATAAAGAAAAAGTAAATCTGTTTCCAGTTCTGTTTCAAATGGGTGTTGAGAGAGGTTTCCATAGATCTCTTCATGTTGCTCTCAAAGTGCACCAGATCGATGCTTTTAACTTCAATATTTATAAATCTTCCCGGGGGAGCTTGCCCCTGGACCCCCCTATGTGAGGTCCACACACCACCTATAAAAATATACTTTACCCCTGCTTACACCTATATGCCGTGAGCTGATATCGAGCCTTCATTGTAACAGTCGCGGGTACATTGTGTGTGTGGAGAGTGTTGCAGTAGAGAATTCCACTGTAGCGCCCGGTACATTGATGAGAAACCCTAAATGTTTGAGCACCCTCTATGAAACGTCAAGCTACCCCACAGCACCCCCAAAATAAATCTCTGGCGCCGCCACTGAGCCTGACTATTTGTGTTTGGGGGGCCCGACTTTTTTCTTTCTCCAAAGGGGGGGCCTGACAGAAAAAGTTTGAGAACCACTGATTTAAGCTAAGATTAAGCTTTGCTTCTTGTTTTTTTATTGTTGTATTATCCATTTGTACCGATCATATCGGGCCTGTCAATTTCACACAAGTTCAAACTACTCTTTGACAGAGTAAAAGACCTTACAAACTGTAATCATCTGTTCACACAAAACGATATCAAATCATATAATTACTTATAGGCGCTACAGGCCGTGTCTTGGTCTCAAGTGGTATTCCTGAGTGTGGTAGCAGCTGTAGTTAGCTTGCTTACAACATCCAACAAATGATTCTACATGTTTCTGATTACAAGACACTTTTTTGACATTATCGCCTTAATCAATGTCCTTGCACTTACTGTAGCATGAAGAAGCATCTCCCCTTCTCTGTTGTGACAAACAGTTATATAAACAAAGATATAAACATCAGTGTTTCTTGAACTAGACATAAATCCGTCCCCTGACTGGTTAGACATTGGATAGCGTCTTTACGCGTCAGTCTGATTTTGCACTATTCAGAGTTCAATATGCAACTGTAAATACATCTCGCCCTGTTCCTCATATTGAAGAACAGGGAATGATCCTGAGTGACTGCGGTCAACATATTTTAGGATAGACAATGTCATTTGCAAATGTATCCTAACAAATTGCATATTAGTTTAGATTCATTGGAGATTGACAGGCTTTAGCCTAAACACATGTTATCTGTTAATCTGTATCTGGGGGTCAAGGGTCGGGCAGGGGGACTCTACAGGTCTGTCCTCTAAACTAGGGGCTTCATTTGGACTGTTACAACACACACACACACACACACACACACACACACACACACACACACACACACACACACACACACACACCACACACACACACACACACACAACACACACACACACACACACACACACACACACACACACACACACACACACACACACACACACACACACACACACACACACACACCACACACACACACACACACACACACACACACACACACACACACACACACACACACACACACACACACACACACACACACACACACACACACACACACACACACACACACACACACACACACACACACACACAGTATATTTAAGAACGGCATGCTCTTTCGGTCTGTGTTACCAAGCAACACAGTAGGAGTCATGGTTCACAGAGTGAGTGTGTGTTTGGACAGGGACCACTTGTGTCAGACAGATATGGTATTGTTGCTCCACTGACAGGCTATACAAACTTCCATTGACTCTCAGCTAGTTGTTTATGTTGGCAGTGAACTGGGTGATTGTCTGATTTAGAGAATGACAGACAGACAGTGACACACAGACAGTGATACAGACAAGCCCTCTGTTAAGACCCAATTGAATGTGTGCATAATTAACACTCAGTCCATCCACTTAGTGAAATACAAGCCTTCCTTCATCATCCAAATGTTGATATACTGACCTTGAGATGAGATTACATCTAGTTTATACTCAGTAAATTGGTTGTCATAAGCATTTTGATAACTACAAATCTGTCTTGTATTGCCGTTTGCTTGGATTTATTATGGTTAAATCATCATTATGTATTAATCACAGCACTAAATGGAAATGAGGCCACATTCTCCTAAAACCCCTTGCGTCTTGTCACAAACACTTAGCTGTCTTATGCCCTGTAGTTTGTTTTGCTGTACTAAAAGGTATTCTACAATTGCATAATGGACTCCTTACATCAAAGACGTGCAACAAAAATAAATCCACTTTATATGATTTAAACACTTTGTGTGTGTTGGATATTTTTGATTTGATGATATTTAGGAACATAATAAAACACACAAACACCCCAACCCGCAAACACACACCTGATGACGCAAGTTCATTCTGCAGCTTAAAGACTTACTTGGCAGTGGGGTGTGTTGACGTGTCCTGCAGGTCTCCAGGGTCAAACAGCTGGGAGCCTTTCAGTCCCAACTCCTCACAGCCTCGAAGAAACCCGCTCAGGTTGTCCTGCACAGAACACACACACACACACACGATAAATACACTGCTGGCAGAGACCGAAGGCAAAAGGAGGTCCGGTCTGCACAAGGTCTCAACTCAAACACACCACTCACACTCTCCCTCTCGGATTCACTTAAAATCATAGTTATATTAGAAAATACACTTCTGGAATCATCACAATATCGCTTTATGAGGTCACGCTCATTAAGCATGGACTTTTGACTTCCCTAATACTCACTTTATCCATGAAATAAACCCGATGCTTCCCTTACATTTTAAACCAGGTCTTAACTCTTAAGAGACCAGATGAACAATCTGTCCTATTATTTAAAACATGTCCTCATTCTTTAGTTGTGAAATGGATCCCCACAAAGATAGAAGTACTGCAGAACTAAAGCCAGGATCCACTTCTTTTTTTTACCACTCATTAAGTGTCTCTATTCGAAACCGCTCTCTCAAGGTCTCTCTGACCAGCAAACACGCACAGACACATGATCACACAGCCGAAGTGACGAATAACTGCATTTACAAGAGATGACAAGAATGATATTTGACTGATTTGAAGAGTATTGACTCATCCGTTTCCCCCTGCGTACAAGCATGCAAACACACACACCACAAACACACACGATTACACAACATGAAAATAAGGATACCTGCTCGACAGAAACGTGACACCAGCCGGGTTTGTGGACGGATTTGGTCCTTTCAGATTACTCCAACTTTCCCTTTTCACCTTCTGCCTCCTCCAAGTGGTTTCCTTTTCCTATCTTCCCTCCTTCACCTGCTGTCCCTTGCTGATTCCTTCCCTCTCTTCTTCCTTACCTTTCACTCTCCCCCCATCTTCTCAGCTGTCCCCCTCTCTCCCCTCTGCTCTCAGACTAACTCTTTGTTGGATGCAACCTGAGCCGAGCTCTCCTCTCCTGTTCCCAGGTTCTCTCTCTCTTTGTTTCTATGCCTCTCTTTCCTGCAGAGGGCCACAGCCAAAGCCCTTCTCTCTCTATCTATCCCCCCCTCCCCTCCCTCAGGGTGTCACCATTTCCTCTCCACCCTGATTGTCCCAAGCACCCACTCTCTAGCTTTCTTTCTCACACACCAAAACACAAATACAATGCACTCACTACCACATACAACATACACCTCCATGCTAAATGCTGTTATGACTGTACATCATTGTGTGTGCTCAGACACAAACAACTATGTTTGCACACGCTGATATGAGAATAAATGCATGGCTACAAACACACTTGGGAAAACTTGTTCTCACGATCGTTTCTCATTTGAATCAGAACACCCTCCAAACTAACCCACCCTGCAGCTTCCTGTGTTTTTAGGACAGCACCATCTCTGTGCTCCTGGTGAGGGAACCCCACCCACACGCACTTGCAGTCACACACAACAACTTCCTGAAAAAAAAGACGCAGCAATCTCTTCTTTTGACAGTTTTAACCCAGGGAGGACACACACACAGCAGACTTAAAAATAAAGGGCTTTCAGTGTTGTTGCATCCAATTAATATCTATTTAATAATACAGAAATAGGTTATGACCTGTGGAACAATAAGAGACCCCTTAGGGTGGGGGTATTATGTAACAGGGACTCTTTGTGTGGACGTTAACAGATCCAGGCCCTCAGGAGCTGTTTGATAAGGAAGCAGCAAGGAAACCATATTTCTAAGAGTGTTAAACAACAAGGGAGCACTTGAAAAGTCTAGCCAGGGGCGAGATGTGGATCAGGTGGCATTGATAAGAATCTCAGCTTTCACAAAGCAACTTTACCACTAACTTTTAAACCATTTGGTCCTCACAAATGGTTTGAATCTTAAATGCAAGTGGAAAAACGAAACACTCGAAGCACCTTGCTTAATGGCGAAAGCGATAGTTAAGTGTGTGTTTGGAGTGAATGTGTCAACAAATGACCATGGTTGTGATCATGTGTGGTGATTTGCAGGTCAGTGCCACAGGAAGCTGGGCGTTTACTGCAAAGAAATGACTGACAGCTGAATGTGTTTGCATAAGGATGTACTTTGGCACAAAGCACTTGTGTAAAAAAAACGTAGTCAAAATACATTTGGGCAAAGGATATACACAATTTGGAAATACCAACTATGTAGAAGAGTTTAAGAAAAACAGAAAACAAGTCACCACAGCATTTACAACCAAATCTTAATATATGCTTGGTTACAAAATAAGGTAATTTGGAGTAAGCAGTAGAAAAGAGGGCCACATATTCCAAGTACCCTTATAACTAGATGGTTAGTATTGTGTGTCTGTAACATACCGACAAAAGAGCTTGGGTTTCCTTGAACACAGCTCTCATGTAATCTATATCTCACTACCAGGATTAGACCACCAAGGTTTCTCAGGGAGAGGATCAGTGCCCAAACCTTGATTTTGGACCTGGACAGAATCCAGAGAAAAGCTGCCCGAGCCACTTGGGTGTCAGTAAGATACAGTATGTTCGCTTCCTGATTCCTTTTCTCTCCCTCCCAAGGATAACAACCAGAAATAAGAGCAAGGTGACGGGTAGAGCCAGCATGCTGCACTGCGCTGTGCTCTGTGTTATTTATGGTCTTCAGTATTAATATAAAACACCTGCTGTCTCATGTGCTGTCTCAATGGATCAGACAATATAAGCTATTTGTAGTTATCAATCAGTATCTGTGTTGATGTCTGATTAGATGCAACATCAATTGTAGGGCAAGAAGGCTAAATATAAGTTTAGTTTGAGAAACAATACAAGTTGTTTTTATTGCGAGCATTTCCTGCTCGGTAGATGTTGCAGTCACAATCTTGAACACATATAAATAATGATGTATTAAGTAATGTGTCTTTATTTAAAATGTACTTTCAACAGATGTGACTTTTATTAAACTCCTAATATTGCCTTGAAAATGCAATATTAGGATAATGTTTACACACACTGATGTGGTTTCATTTTAATCAAAATAGTTTAATTTTCATAGTAAATTCCTCAAACTATTCGATGCATAAGATTTCTTAAAAATGCACAACTGTCAGGACTTTGAAATCTCTAACTACACCAAGGGCAGTTCAATTATCTCAGAAAGACTAATAATGCATAAAATCCTTCAAATGAATATGAAAATCCCCCAATCTGGAAGTTTTACATATCGTTCTGAAGTCATGTTTTTCTACGTGTACGTCACTGTTGCCCTAAGGTTGACGCAATAACACATTCTTCTAACATTGCTACCATTTAACATGCAGGGCATTATCCACTGCTTGTCTGTTTACACACCGTAAAACATGAGCATACCAGTGGACCCGGAGACGTCCGGGGACCCAGAACGCAACAACCAACCTGTTCAGACCAACACTGAGCCACACAGGGCCGAGCTGACAAACCACTAAGGTTGCTGCTCTAATTACAAAACAGCCAGAGCTCCTCAGAGACTCATTTTCCCATTAGCCCCCAAACAGGAAGAGGAAGGGGGAGTAGCCTGTGTTTTATTACGATGGTCCAGATAACAGCAGACGCCTTGTTTATGTGTTTCTCGCCTCTTTAATCACAGCTATGAGGAAAAATACCTGCAAAGCCACAGGAAGCCAAGAGGTCAAATTATGAAACTTTCAGAGTATACAGGCTTTATTGTATCGACTGCAAACCAGTAGGTGTGATTTTTCTTTTTCTTACAGTATGTTGTCCTCAAACGGCTACTGTAAACATGTTGTGTTCAGGGAATGATTCATCCTGCCCCTATGGGCCAGTTACCAATGGCCATGCAATGTTTATCCATCCTGAAACTGCAGCGCCTCACCTATGGCTAATAGGTTTAGTTGTTTTCAGCAAAAGCATCCAGCACAACAACAAAAATGAATCAAAGCCTCATTCATACTCTGGAAACATATTGATACTTTCCATAATGGAACATTAGAAAGTGTGTTTGTCCAATAGAGAGGCGAAGTCCCGCCCATCTACTTCCGACCCATGGGACCTTATTTCGGAAAAATTATGTATTGAAGTCAATCATATGTGTAATTCGTGGCACAATTCAAACGGGATTGAAAGATAATCTTTCTCTCGCCATTGACTTCAATACATAGTTTTTCCGAAATAAGGTCCCATGGAGGTCCCCCGGAAAGGGACGGACTTCGCCTCTCTATAGATTGAATTACAAACAAATGTAGCGTTACTGTATCCACATGCTTGATGTTATTATTATTTACTTTGGAAGAGAAACTGCTAATGCAAATCAAATCTTCACATTTGTTTTCGACAGCCTTGATTCATCTCATTGAAATTAGGCAGCTAAACACTTCATTTAACAACCTGTGGAAGTCAATCGTTTTTACAGTCACTTGTTGACTTATAGAAAAGTGGCACTGCACCCTGATATATCTTTGAAAGTCATTAAAAACTCTTTAAACCATAATATGTGGCTGTCAGCAGCACAGATGAACTGATAACTCGCTATCAGGCTACATATAGAGGAATGTGTGATAAAGTACATGAACGACTGCAGGGTGGTAGCAGATGAGGAAAGAAAGCAAAAAGAAAACTCAACCAAAAACAAGGTGCAACAGGAACTTCATATTTATGTGTTATGCAAGGATGACAAACACTACCATGGGGAGTGAGCACAGAAGCTCCAGAGTTTAAGCCCTAACAGGATAATCAAGTGTTATTCTAGCAGTGATTGTAAAGTGGGAAAAAGGCTTGTAAAGAATGTCGGTGTAATTATCGCCACTTGTAAAAAGCCAGAGACGGCTGATTGGCAGCCATTAGTGACGCCGTGTGATTAGAAAAGCTGTTTTAGCCCAAATCAGACTTCCTGTTCTCGTGTGTCCTGCTGTGATCTGAATGATTACCGGCTCCCCTTACACTTGTTACCATCGCCATGTTGTAACCTGCTTTGTGTCTCACTAATGTGTATAGGGACTCAACAGCTAATAAATGCAACTTTGACAGAGAAAAATCAACCTGTCAGTGTAGTTGAATATGTTTAAATCACACCGATAAGGTCAGTAATGAAATAAATAATAATGTCTCATCGTCCATACTATTAATTTTGTCCCAAGCCAAAATCTAATATTGTTTCTTAAGCAATGTTGTTGTCATGTTGTGATTTAAGATTGGATCCGGGTTGAGCAATACATATTTGCTTGGAAAATATTTGAAAATGTACTTTTTAGAGGAAAGAAATCTTAACAGGTTTGAAAAATTGTAATTATTGGTCTTTCATTTTTGTACCGTAACCTGGTCTTTCCAACAAAATACCCCCAATGTTTTTAATGAACGGCCTTTAAGACAGCAGTCAGGAATACAACAGCGAGCTACTGTAAGTTAACAAGAACTAAGCGATAGACTTTCAGTGTGTCTCTGTTTACGTGCCGGTCCTGGTTCATAAAGGTCACTTCATCCAGATCAAGGTCTTAAGTTGTCATGAAAGGGCTGCAGTGTATTGCACTGTACTCTGGTTTAAATGTATCAGTGTTCAGGTCTACTGAAATTCACAGGTTCTCATTCAAAGCAGGGGCCAAACATACATTTTTTATTTAAACTGCTGACTACAACGTACATTATTCAGTTGAGGTGTGATGACCTTGAAGGAATTTTTTCCTGCCAATATAAAAATATGTTTTCGATGGTTAAAGTAAGTCAAATAAATGTGGTTTAGTCAATGAAAGGACAGGAACTGATATTGTCCCACATGTTTGTTTTGATCAAGAGTCTACTGTGAATTTAACTGTGTCACACACGGCTGCTGATGGACACGTCTACTGTGACGACTAGGGTTGGGTATCGTTTGGATTTGAACGATTCCGGTTCTGCTTTTCGATTCCGGTTCTTTGAGAGGGTACAAATAAGTCCCATGCCAATTTCACTGGGAGAAAAATATATTTATGAAAACATTAAGTCATATCTGTATTCCTATTTACAAATCACTGAACGCTCTCAGTTTGTACGTGTTAACGATGAATCTTCCACGCAAACCAAAGTTAGCCATGGAGTGCCACAGGGCTCAGTGCTCGGACCTATTTTGTTCACATTATATATGCTTCCGTTAGGCAATATTATAAGGAATCATTCTGTAAACTTTCATTGTTATGCGGATGATACTCAACTATATTTATCAATCAAGCCTGATGAAATTAATCATCTAAATAAAATTCAAGACTGCCTTAAGGACTTAAAAACGTGGATGACCTTAAACTTTTTGATGTTAAACACGACCAAAACTGAAGTTATTGTACTTGGCCCGAAGAATCTACGAAACAAATGATCTAAGGATATACTAACTATGGATGGCATTAATTTGGCCTCCAGTGAGACTGTAAGGAATCTTGGTGTTATATTTGATCAGGATTGATCCTTTAACGCCCACATAAAATCAATTTCAAGGACCGCCTACTTCCATCTACGTAACATTGCAAAAATCAGGCATATCTTGCCTCAAAACTATGCAGAGAAACTAGTCCATGCATTTGTTACTTCAAGGCTGGATTATTGTAACTCTTTATTATCAGGGTGTACCAAGAAGTCAGTCAAGTCGCTTCAGCTGATTCAAAATGCTGCGGCTCGTGTACTAACCAGAGTTAGGAAAAGGGACCACATTACTCCTGTTCTGGCTGCCTTACACTGGCTCCCTATAGAACACAGGATAGAATTTAAAATTCTTCTTCTCGCCTACAAAGCCCTTAATGGGCAGGCGCCATCTTACCTTAAAGAACTCATTATACCCTACTGTCCTATTAGGGCATTGCGTTCCAAGAATGCAGGGTTGTTGGTTGTTCCTAGAGTCTCTAAAAGTACAATGGGAGCCAGAGCCTTTTCTTATCAAGCTCCACATTTGTGGAATCAGCTTCCAGTTTGTGTTCGGGCGGCAGACACCCTATCCGTTTTTAAGAGTGCGCTTAAGACCTTCCTTTTTGATAAAGCTTATAGTTAGGGCTGATTAGATTCAGCCCCTAGTTTTGCTGATATAGGTTTAGTTTGTCGGGGGACATCTTACTTCTTCCTTCTCTCTGTCTATACCTGTGTACTCTCATGTTCCGATTAACCCAGCTTCCCCAAATGTCTTTCTTTTTGGTGTCTATATACGCCGGGATCCGGAGTCATGGATGATCCTGCGCTCCTCTGTCCTGGATCGCGAGCCCTGGATCTTGAGTCGTGGCTGTGGTCCTGGATCATAGGTCCTGGATGGATATCCTCGTGGATTCATCTTCCTATTATACACACATGCATTTCCAAACATTTGGACTACCTATGTTGCAAATGTATTATCTTTTCAATTTACACACGGCATCTATTGCACGTCTGTCCGTCCTGGGAGAGGGATCCCTCCTCTGTTGCTCTCCCTGAGGTTTCTCCCATGTTCCCTTTAAACTGTGGGTTTTCTCTGGAAGTTTTTCCTTGTACGATGTGAGGGTCTAAGGACAGAGGGTGTCGTATTGTCATACTGATATTTTGTACAAACTGTAAAGTCCACTGAGACAAATGTAACATTTGTGATATTGGGCTATATAAATAAACATTGATTGATTGATTGATTGACTTAACTGTTTCATTTTGTATCGGTTATTGAATACAATTATATTAAAATAATCTCTGCATAGTTTAGTTAGTTCTAAGTGGTGCTAAGTTTGAGAATGTACAACTGGCTCAGTCTCCTCTGATGTTACACTGCAACCTGCCTGTGTGACAGAGTCCAACCACACAGTCTGTGTCCAACACATCCTGCAATACACATGCTGCAGCTGCCCAGCTACTCACTGTTTGTAAAAGTACATCAATAGTATTTTCATTTCAATAATGTACTGTCTATACCCTGCTTCATAAACAATACTGACATCCCTGTGCTCCTTCGAGTCTGTCTCACAGTCCGGGATGTGAGGACAGCGCGAGGACACAGACAGGGAGGGTTCACTTCATAAAGGAAATGGCCGTCAATATTAACAACATAGGAGCTAAAACGCTTAATAACCTTCATTACGTGTTAGAGAAAGAACATAAGAAAGGTTGACAAAGATGAGGCTGTTAAACGGGCAGCGGAGCCGCTGTGTGTAGAGAGAGGGAGAGAGAGAGAGAGAGAGAGAGAGAGAGAGAGAGAGAGAGAGAGAGAGAGAGAGACGTAGAGAGAGAGAGAGAGAGAGAGAGAGAGGAGAGAGAGAGAGAGAGAGAGAGAGAGAGAGAGAGAGAGCTGGAACTGGATTTTGGTACCCAACCCTAGTGACGACTGAAACTGAGATCTTTGAACTGCATCCATCTGTAACCAAACCCACATAACACACTTGCTACTGTATAATGTCACATGATTATTGTCAGTGTATGTGTGTAGAACTAATTTCTTTCTCACCTCCTTGGCACTCACTAAAAGTCCAGTTTGGATGGATATTTATCACTAAAAAGTAGAGAAATAATCTGGCAAACTATGTTGATGTACTTAAAAAGGTGTTTGACAGGGTTGTTAATGTTTAGGTCGCCTCATTGCTTTGGAGAGAAGCACACTCATACTACAGCCCATTTGAAATGTAAATACATAAAGTCTTTCATCCATGGGTTAAGGCACATATACCAACGTGAACAGAAAAAGTGACAGAAAAAGAAAAGTAAAGAAATGATTTTCCAAAAAGATCATTGTACTCTCTGAAGTGTTGTTGTGAGGTTGCAGGAGGAAAGAGGACTCACCAGGCCAGCTATGGGTGTTGGAAGTCTGTTAATTTTCTTTACCAGGCCGGGTTTAATGGAGCTCAGCAACCTAACAAAAGACACACAGGGAAGAAAACATCACAAGCTGAATTTAAAAATAAAAACAAAACAAAAAGCAAGCCTGTGTACATTTGTTTTTCTTTGTAATATTTGAAATGAAACTCGGCAAAGTAAGTTCAAACCCAGTTCATACAGAAGGAAATAACTGCAGGTCAAAGAGATAAAGAGTGTGTGAAGCTGTGTGTTTGTCTTTCGAGTAAAGAGGGGGAACAATGGGGGAGAGAGAAACATTTTCTGAGGGTCCCATGGTGGCGTTGGCCCAAGGTTTATAACGACTGAGATACTAAATCACAGTGGAGAATCGTTGCGTCTCCTTCCCCCGCTGGGAGCTGTTAAATAGTTCCTGTACTCTTGGGAACATGGGAAGAGGTTTGTCCTTCTGCTGTCAAATCTCATTGCAAGACAGTTTTGTTACAGTATATTTCTACAACCTTGGACAGCATGTCAGTCAGGAACAAGCCACAGTTCCCCCCTCTCCGTCTCCAGTTTCTCTCTTTTGTGTGTGTTTTCATCAGAGGAAGCACTGTAATGATTCTGCACTGTAAAGTAAAAACCCACTCTGGGATAATCTTACAGTATTAGACACCCTGTGATGTTGATGGCATTCCAGCAGGTATTTTGTGATGAACTGCTGTAATTGACCTTTTAGTGAACTCTCTTTCTCTCAGACTTCCTGCTGTACTGTATGCTTCCCAGAATAACTTTCAACAACCCCAAGAGAAGGGTGTTCTCAGTGCCGCGTACAATATGTGTAGGTGGGGAGAGTGGGCAATGCGAACAGTGGAGACAATATTTCAACTCTTGAAAGACATTATCAGAATAATGTTGCAGTCTGCTTTATTATTTTATATTTAGCCTCCATAGAGGATTTCACCCTCTATTGTACACGTGTCAAACTCAAGGCCCGGGGGCCAAATCAGGCCCGTGGTGGATTTCATTTTGGCCCGCAGGATAATTTCTAATTACTATTAGATCTGGCCCGCTGGTATATTGCACGCACACCTTCACTCCATCCTGAGGGTCTCCTCAGCTCAGAGCCTGAGCCCAAACATTGATGAACTTGCACCCAAGATGAGATGCCAAGTATCTGTTTGAACTAGCTTCACAGAGCAGCACACTGAGTTTCCATGGATGTTTCCTTCTGCACTTTCTCTCTCACGACAACAGGGCATGTTTGGTTCTCTTTGAGGGAAATAGTTTTGTTGAAGCTGTTGTTGGCCTGTGGAGAAATGTAATCATAAGAAATGACTCTGGAAAAGCTGCAGATAGAGCCATAAGAAATGAATGCAACTGATTATTTAATGTTTAATGTTGTTTTTATAGGCAATAATTTAAGCTTTGTTAGCTCCAGGTTTAATATGTGCAATAAGTTCATTTCAATACGTTTTGCAATAAACATTGAACAAGTCCGGCCCTCGACTAGTACCCATTTTTTCATTTTGGCCCACTGTGTATTTGAGTTTGACCCCCCTGCTCTATGGCCATGGAGCATCAGTACAGATGACTTTGTTTATTGCCCCTGAGATTGACTTTTTCAAAACATGAATCCAGATTATTTTTTGGGAGTATGGCCCATTTGTGTCCATTCAAGACTGTCCCAGTTGTAAGTGTTGTTGTCTGAGTGTTTCCTGTTTTTAAAAACAGACACAATCGAAACAAACACAGTACAGGCGACATAAATACATCCTCTTTTTGTATGTCAGGGACAAACACATTTCCTGACGCCTTGGTTATCGGAAAGATAAAGAGGTTGTAAAGTACTTCACTTTTGGAAGTAGTGAGATACAAAACAAACCTCTCTCCACCGCTGGACGGAAACCATTTACATGCATTAGTTGACTAATTGCTTGTGCAGCGTTGCAAGAAGCGGATGTAAGGATGATGATCAGTGTTTCCCCTAGGTTTACTGCTTTGGGGGGGGAGCTGCCTGAGCGGGGGGGGGGGGTGGCATTGGGATATATATTTTTTAAATCCTCTAGAGCAGAGAGAGGAGCTGTGGATTATTGTTATTGATTAATGCATCAGTGTTTCTTAGGGTCAAAAACACTAAACTCACAACTTAAAATGAAAGCATTTAGTTTATTTAAGGCGAGACACCCCAGGTGAATAGGGTCATTTTTTGTTTCTTGTATTACAAGTTTTCTGAAATAACATGTTTAAATATGCAAATGATCCATTATCTCATTAAATATGCGCATATTTTAACACATTTCAGGAACCAAAATCTGAACTTTGGATAAAGCCAGGTTCAAAATTCCCATTTCATTTTGTAGTCATATTAGCATCTAAGGCTTTTACAGAAGGGATTTTGGATATCTCTTTTTATCACTCCATAAATCAGAAAATATTGTCAACGGCCCTAAAATATCCCTAAAAGCCTTCATAATATTGTTAGGAATATAACTAGAAGGTTTGGTGTATCTACGTGCTACTGAAGTTGACATTTCGAACTCAGAGTAGGAGAAAAAACTCATTTTTTGAAAACGACCTTTAAAGATTGCAGTGAGGTGCTAGCTAAACCCTCCTGTTCTTTGGATGACAGCTTGCGCATCAACGCACTCCGTGAAGGTATTTCATGTTCGGGGTCATTTGTTTTTTGTATAATCTTGCTTTGTGCAAGTGACAATTGTTGTAGTCTTCTCTGTGAAAGTTTTTTTTGCCGTTCTTTTGCCATTTTGAGATTTCAATTTCTAGCGGTAAGCTAACCAGGAAGTCTTTTAGCACACCACGTGTGACGAAAGATTTAGTTTCTTTCACGATTGGTTGCTGATACAAAGGAAATGACCATATTTGGATCCGATGAGATTGTGCAGGAGAGACGGAGCTTTCCAACGATATCTCTGTTGACATGGTGCACACAGCGGTCGCGGTACTTTATGTTACGTTAGAATGCTAACTTTTGGTGAATTTAGGAGAAATCAACAGACGCAAATAGACAAACTATAGTAAAATAAACACTTAAATGTGTATTTTGTACGTTTTCCTTCCAAAAGCCTGAAAGGTTATGGAATCAAAATAGCACAAAATCTCAAAATTGACCAGTGCATGAAAAACGATGTTTTTGCCTCCCGTGTCTCGCCTTAATAAAAGAGCACATGTTCAATGTGACAGTAGATATAGATTAGTTGCAATTTGGTGCTATATATATATATATATATTTTTTTTTAAAAACACCTTGAATTTCAGAGGGGGCGCGGGTCTCCGTTGGCAGGGCGCAGCGCCCTGCCAAGACAATGGTAGGGGAAACGCTGATGATTAAAGGGGATCTATCAGGCAAAATGCATTTTTTGTGTCATGTCTTTTATACATAAATATGTGTCCCCGGTGCGTCGGGGAACTCACGCAGCGTCAGAAAATAAAACCCTCTCTCTTTTCCTCCGTACCCAAATCTTTGAAAAACGGGGTACAACGAGCGGATACAGATTTGCTGCCGACATGACGTCAAATCGGCAGCGGACCCACAGAAAGTTGCTATCAGAAACAATGCCTGACGTGTTTCGGACGTAATCTCGTCTTTGTTTAAAAGGCAGGAAATAAAAAAAGGAACTCACCTTGTGATAAACCCGCAAGAGAAAAAGCATTTGAGATCCATAATGTTTCAGAAATGAACCTTGATGTGGTTTAGAACAGGATGGCGTTTTATCACAGCAGAATATAACTTTATCTCCGGTAGAATTCTGATCAGGCATTAGCTCCGCCTCCTCTTTTTTCCCTCTTTTTTTCAAGCTAAGGACCCAAAATCTGCGCTTGTCTAATAGGGCTGCAAAAGAGGGGTATGAGCAGTATGAGGCATGGCGACAATGGCTGATCGGTTTGGTATTCTAAGCAAAAAACTTCACCGACATGTTTTGTAATGGTATGGCCCTACAATATATTTCTCCAATATAGCATAATAGGTCCACTTTAAATAACAACAGTATAAAACCCAAAGAATACTGCATTTGCAATCATATCAAACAGAAGCAAATAGCAGATCTGAAATTGGAAGACTGGAAACAACAAAGTCATAATAATAATGATTCATTAGTTATCAAGTAAGATGCCAATTAATGTTCTAAACATAGCGATTCATTCATTATCTGCATGAGATAGATTCTGTTATCATTTTATAATGTGTGAATCACAAGAAGTGAAGACTTTGTTCCAGAAATTCCAAAACCAGTGGGGAAACTTTTAAATTGGATATGACGTCTGTATTCACAACAAACAGGGTGTAGACATCAGCGTTGTGTAACTGAACTTGTCAGATAGGAATGTGGAGGAAGTGTCTGTGTGTGTTTTCAGTCTCATTTTAGCACCTCGCCTTATAATGAGAGAGCAGAAAAGAGCTCACTGTGTCTCATGTGAGGAACATGTAAAGGGGAATCAGGCTCTCTGATCACTGGACCATAGTGAAACAAGTGAGGGCATTTGGTTATGCGTAGATATTGTATTTGATTAACTATTAGGGCTTTTTTCCTACCAATGCAGAGAAAGGCAGAGCAGAATCCTATACAAATGATATAAATATTAACTTAGTTTAAAGATATATTCAAGAATGCCAGTGACTTGACCTGCTAGAGAGCATTGTGATAATGACCTTTGCACTCATACTCTCAAGACTGGAGCTTTAATGAAGGTGTCACCCATTTTAATTCACCATTGAACACAATCAATCATCTCTAACCCATGAAAAGTAAATAAAAACAAAGAAATTATTTGAGAAGAGCCGATACGTCGCTCAGAAAGTGTACAAAACTAATTTTCCAGAATATGATTACCAAAGATAAAAGCAAAGGAGACAGCTAGTAGAGAAGCCTAATTGCTAAAGACAGTCAGATAAAAACAAATAAGATATAGTGAGAACTTACTCGCACAGCAGTATCCCATTCTCCAAACCGCCTCGGAAGTCCTTGTCACCAAAACATCTTCCTGTCACAGCCTAGAAAGAGAGAAGAACGGAATGAGTTAGCAAAAAATAACAAAAACAACAAAACACACACCATTAAAAAACAAGTCAGTCTCTGAATCTAAAGTCTAAACACAAGCGCTCTACTTAGAAACCAAGAAACAAGCCCAACAACCTTTATAGAACACTCCTTTCACGTGTTTCCCTCACGATAAATCCAGAGAATGGTCCACAAAGAGCCGTAGCCGTATATCAAGTCCCTCTCTAGTTAACAGCACTAAACACTAACAAGCTTGACATAAGCCGCAATCATCCTGACCAAATGGCCGTGGCGGGCTAATGTGTTGTGACAGGGGGATTTAATGGCCAATAGTTACTCAGATCCTGTGAGGCTGCCTGTTTGCATGTATTTGCAGGACTTTACAGTACATTTTCAGGCATGTGTGCTTCCGTGGACGAATATAGCAACTCAAGTGCAGGCTTCTTGTTTGTTGCACAACATTTACTTGCACACAAACACATGGTGGAGAATCTGAACAGGTCCTAAACATGCGTAATGGTCTGTCACAGTAAAATGATGGAAATAAATTGAACCCAAATTGCCGTTTTCTGCATATGAGCTTCAGCTGAAATGTTGACCTTTCACCTTTATTTATGTGAGTGAACAGGGCATCTTAGTAATTGTGTATGCCTCACATGAAAATGCAAAAAAAATAAATCACAAGTGCAACAGAGATATAACTGTCCCAATCAAGAATAGTGGTTGTTGCAGGACTTTTAGGACCAGGCCTACTTATGGCGTATTTCCACTGCAGCGCGTAGCACCGTTTAAGTGTGCCGTGCCAAACCCGGAACGTTTTTTGTTGCGTTTCCACTAGGGGTAGTTTCGGCTAACGGGTACTTTTTCACACTCTGGCCCTCCAAAACAGTGGTTCCCAACCTGGGGGGCGCGCCAAATATCGCAGGGGGTGCGCCAGGCTTCAGATGATTTGAAGCCAAATATCTTCTTTTTTTTTTTTATTTACATATAATTGTAACGCAATACATGATTGTCGCTAAAAGCCTCGTCTCTACATTACAATAAAATATTTTTCAAAATGGATTAATTAATTTTAATAAAAATTCAAGTTAGTAGCTAATAAAAGGCATAAAAAGACAGAAATGTATAATTTTGTCTTTAATAGAAATGTTTCTTCTGCCCGTAAAGTGTCCAAACCAGGCTTGTCTGGATAAACGCATTTTTAAAACATAGTCATTGTCCATGCCGGTTCCATTTTGTAGATTATTTACGACTTTTGAATCCACATAAAACACATCGGCAAAATCCGGCTTACTTTGAGCATGTGTTTTAAACAGTTTAATCCCTTTGTGAATTGTTTAATTTCTTCATACAGCGGGCATCTAAATGAATTAACCCTGAGTCCAATAACCATCAAAGTCACTCCAATAGTGCTCCTTAATTACGCTTTCATCCTCCTTTAACGAAATACTTCACATTCATCCAGTTTGTGACAGTAGTTGTAGCATTTTTGAGACTTTGAAACTTTAATTACCGCCGTTGCGCCCCGGTGGAATGAGCTCCCCATCAGGACAGCAGATAGCTTGCACATCTTCCGGCGCAGACTGAAAACTCATCTCTTTCGACTCCACTTCGAGCGATAGAATTACTAACAAAGAATTGCTAACAAAGCACTTATATACTAATAAAGGACTGGCTTATCTAAAGCCAGTTGAGTAGCACTTGAAATGTTTTTTCTCTATAAAACCTGATGTACTTATATGATTCTGTTTTCTTCAAGTTTGTGTCTTCCTGGTCGAATGCACTTATTGTAAGTCGCTTTGGATAAAAGCGTCAGCTAAATGCAATGTAATGTAAAATGCGTGTTTTCTGAATGGAGATCCGCTAAGCTAACGCAGTATATGCTCCGACCGTCCACACTCACAACAACGGCCTACAGACATAAATAAACCAGCGACTGTATTCGCCATGACACAGGCAGTCTGTGGTTTGTACTTGTTTAACTTTTGTCTAGTTTCTGAACAGATATGAGGAGCTGTGAGCTCTGAGTGCTAACTGCTAACGGCTGACGTTGGTTTTGTGGTTCGCATTGAAGATGATGTCACGGCTCCGCCTACACTGCGTTACTATAGTTACTGCCCCAGTTCCTAAACTGTTATGGAAACGCAGCATGAAGTGAGCCTGGCCTACCAAGGCCTAACTATACCATACTAAGCCGTGCGAGGCCCTGCAATGGAAACGTGCCATTACAATCCATTTCTTCTTAGAGTGTCACAGGTTTGGTCATAGAAAAAGGGAGGGGGGCTTTGGTCTGCTGCGTTGGAAGCCAAAACAATTATTACATTTCCTGAAAGATTATTTTACATGTATTTGCACAGCTGTGGAAGAAAAAGTGTGTAGATGTAGAGTGTCTGGGTCAGCTGTGTGTGTTTTGTTTCTGTCAGCTTCTTGGCCCGTTGTGAAGCCTGGAGCCGTTACAAAAGGAATGGACTGCTGTGTGTAAGCAAGGAGGTCGACAGTAGGCCTCATTTCTGCTGCTGGGGGGTGCTGGGGGGCACAGAGAAGTGTCGTGTTTGGTACTCGGGACTTAGACAGAAAGAAAGCACATAAAGATAGAAAAACAGAGAAAAGAGAGAGGTAAATATGTTCCCTTGATGCTGCCATTTAGGTATTCATCGCTGCTTTTCCCTTCTACACCAGCAGGTGTATGTCTTAAGTGTAATTTGGCTTGGCTTCCTATTTATGGACATGCTTTTATTTTGAAGGAGAGGTAGCGCTGTTGACAGGAAGTTGTTGTTGCTTTGGAAACAACGTGACGGAGATTAACGGAAAAAAGTCATATCTACATATAAAGACGGAGAAAGTAAACGATAACGTTTATGGTTAAGTGTTAGCACTCCCCGAACAAGCTCTTACGTTGATATTGGAGATTTCAATAAATTCAATTTGAAAAAAAAACGGGGGAAAACAAACAAAACGATTAACGAAATTGAAACCGAATAGTACAACGATAGCACAACGAACGAATATTCGGGTACAGCCCTAGTATTCACTAGCACCTGCACTAAACCCATGTTCTATGAAAACAGTTAATGGACCTGCTCTTCCTTGAAGATCTGCCACCTAAACGTTTGTAGATTAAAAAGCTCATTCTGTATCGATATTTTAGATTTTTCTACTTAAGGTCTTAAGTCATAATAACATGATTGTAGAGTAGTCAATAACATTTCCAGGCCTTCACTGTGAATGCAAAGCAATCCCAGAGTTATTAGAGTAGTGTTCCCTGGTTTTGTTCACATTCTGATTTCGCTAAAAATAAAATGGCCAACATACTTTTATATCTGGAGCTTAAAATATCTGCAGCCAAGAAGATGACCTTAATTTACGAGCCACTCAATAAATGTGTCACATGAATGTTAATGTCCTTACTTCTAGAGATGGATGACCTTGTACTGTTTTGAACAGTCTCTTGCCAAACAATACACACCTGGTTTTGGGTTACTAACTAAAAAGGAATGATGCTGGTTGCTGCAGGGGTTGAACAGCCTCTCCAATAACTAGGTCAGCTTTTCACTGACCTTGCAGATGAGTATGAGTGTACACGGGAAGATTAAAGTGTCACACTCCCTTGACACAGAGATTAAAGTGACACCACCTTCATACTTTGAGGGCAGAGTGCAGCCAAGTGCAGGACAACAAGTAAGGTCAGACACAGTATAACTATCACCATTTTTAAAGATAACGAAATCTGGAAAAATACTGATGGGGGATAAATTAGGATACAGATGGTATTGTTCAATTTCAAATTTGAAAACAAATGAAATAAATGACGTGATGCATAAAAGCCGCATGTGTATTAAAACGTTTTTTCCATATTCAATAAATCCCCAAATATTTTTATTTTATGGACCAGAACTTCCAGCTGGATAGGTTTAAGGTTAGGTCAATTAATATTCTGTCCTTTGGGGTGCATGCACATTAACATAAATTACATATTACTCTTCTAGCTATGACAAGGGAATGACAGGGATGACTTTTCTCGCATTATCTTGATGTGCAGTTTGGCAGTGACTGCATAGCTGCTAAGGACCTTGGATCATGTTAATCTGCGGCTCCCATTGGTGCTGTAAGTGAGCTGAAGTGCACCTGAAAATCCTGACTGACCCGAGGGAGGCCTTAGTTTGAGACAATTGGGCACCATGTAATAGAGAATCAAAATGTATTTTATTAGCAAATGCTGCGTGAAAGGGGAACACATAACCACCATACGAGACGGAACTATTACTCACTGTTACCTCAACATCAAGAGGCAGATGGAGAGTATTACCGTCCTAACTCACACAAACACCTCCTAGAGGATTTGTTCAGGTTACATCTAGGGATGGAAGTTGAAATTGGTAAATTGACTGCATTATTTTGTCTACCGAGCAGTAAAGGTGTTTAAAAAAAACATTTTCAACAATCTAAGTTGCAGGAGAAGATGCCTGTTCAGGTTTCAAAATTAGATTAAGAGCTGGAAAGCTTATTTGAACTGTTGTTCAATGTCACTTATGTTTCTACTTCAAGCAACAATTCCATCTACATCTAACACTAATTCTATCAATATAATGCAAAACTAGGTGGCGACAATAAGTTAATATACATTTCTTAAAGGTCACCTATTATGCAAAATCCACTTTTTCATGTCTCTTATGCATCACCATGTGTCCCCTCTTCTTCATGTCTCTTCTACATCAACATGTGTCCCCTCTTCTTCATGTCTCTTCTACATCAACATGTGTCCCCTCTTCTTCATGTCTCTTCTACATCAACATGTGTCCCCTCTTCTTCATGTCTCTTCTACATCAACATGTGTCCCCTCTTCTTCATGTCTCTTCTACATCAACACGTGTCCCCTCTTCTTCATGTCTCTTCTACATCAACACGTGTCCCCTCTTCTTCATGTCTCTTCTACATCACCATGTGTCCCCTCTTCTTCATGTCTCTTCTACATCAACATGTGTCCCCTCTTCTT